CATTTTTAAAAATTCTGGACACACACACACACACATCCATCACACACACATTATCTACTCCACACCCTGCCGTGCATGTTAGCAATTATTTAATAAATTCCCCAGACATTTCAGATGACCCCATTTGAATTCCAGGCGACCCCACATGGGGTTGCAACCCCAAGGTTGAATAAACTAGGCCTATGGACATCCTGCACAATCCATATAAAGGATTATTGACTGGAATATGACAGTAACAGAAAAACAATGACATCATCCAGTCTCCTACAGGATATTTTTAGATTTTTTTTTTGTATAAATTAAATCAGTTTTCCTGACAAGTTTCTCTTGGAAACATGAATCCTCAGTGACGAGTATCCGTCCCTGCAGGAACCAGTGAATTCTCTGCATTGAGCAGCTGTCATATTCAGTCTTCAGTGGAAACATTCGCCTCATAAACTCCCAGTCATGTTGGAGTGTGTTGTTAAAAACCAAAGAATTCTTCACTCAAACGTATCATTGGAGGCTAATATTTACACACACGCAGCGTCCAGGCCTTTCTCTTATCAGTCAGTGGTCTGATCCTGAGGCTTGATGGGAGTCTTATCTTTAAATGGTAGATTCAACAAGCTAATAAACCGTGTGTGTGTGTGTGTATGTGTGTGTGTCAGGGTCGATACCCTGCTCTCAGTTGAAGCTAACGGCTCCTCTCTGGACTCTTATCTCTGTTCTATTTGTAGACCCTTATCTTTATGAACTAGTTTCTCCTCCAGACTCAGTTCAGACTCTGAGTTTGTTTGGGTTTTTTCTGAGTTTAAGGATGAGAACTTTACCTCTTCTTATTCTGGATACTGTTTGCCAGGTTGTTTTCCTCAATCAATAAAAAGATAATATTTTATTATGACATGAAATAACTGATAAACTTAAAGTATTTACATGTAAACCTGACGTCATGGGATCAGGGAATGTTAAGACTATGGCTCAGTTCCCAGTTCCACTGAGTGGAGTTAAATCTGTCAAAGAAAACTGACCTTGATACGTGTATATGAATCCAATTCTAGTTCCATTTTCCACCAGCAGGTGGAAACCTGACCTTTTAATGGGCATTTTTCTATATTTTTTCTCCCAATGCAGTTATTTCTATTCGAGGAGTTTCTGGAACAGTCCAGCTCTGACAATTCAAACAGACTGCAATAGAATTGTTCCTCATTAAAATACATTTTAAAAATATTAAAAAAAAATTTACATCAAGGACAATTATAATATTGTTACAAATAAAATGTAGGATATGTCTAACAAATGCCTGTACTTTATGCTACCAATGCATTTGAATAGAATTAGAAATAGAAAAGTTATGATTGTGAGGTATTTAACCTACTGAAATAACCATTATCTAACATTACACCAAGATTCAGGAAATGAAATGTATTATCATCATTATTTATGTTTCACGTTTCCTTCTCACAGACTGTGTTAATTGATCCACTACATTGAAAGGTTTTATAACCTGTTTTAATAACAGGTTAAACCGGTAGAAAATACATTTTTAATTGCTTTGGAAATGTAAGCTTATTTATCACGAGGATTGTCAGGCTGTCATAAAGATTAAATTGTATTAAATATTACAATCTACCAGATCATGGTTCTGAACAATCTCTTCCACTGGAACATAAGGTGTCATAAAACTGTTTCGGTCGTTACTCGACGCTTTGAGAGACCGTGATGTTGTTGCATTGTAAAAATGACTCACTGTAGGCCTGACAACAGTGTATTTACGCTGTATTTACAATTGTATTTTGTATAATTTCCAAAAACGAATAAATTAATTTACAACTGCAAACAATTTTCTTTCCTTCCAATAAACATGTTGTTACTTTTTCAATCTATTTTTACAGATTTCTACAGTCAGAGTTACAGATGATTCTGATTCTAGTGAGGTCCCTGCACCTGTGTTTGTACTGTAAACAGCATAATTAACACCTTAACCGGGTGAAAAAGTATGTGTGCGTGTGTGAACTCTGAGCTCATTAAAGAGAGTCCATCTCCCCTCTGTGTTTACAGGACATACTGTAAGGTGGAGAATTAGAAGAAGCACAGAGGCAGAAATGAACCAAGGAAACAATCTGACCTAAAACACACTGGTCGAGTCTGACGAGTTAAATCATCAAAACTGACGCCGTTTAAAACACATTAACACTCTTCCTTTGACAAAGCTCTGATGTGAGGAAGTATGTGAGAGAAGAGAGAGAGGGGAAGACGTCAGAGGTGACAGGATTTTTAATTAACGTCCATGACGAGGCATGCACTCACTCACCGAGCACACAAACAAAACCGTCCTGTTAGCCTCTCATACACGTTACTGTATTTGCAGACACGCCAACAAGCCAAGTGTAATGGAGCAAATTACAACAACTCATTACTACCAGTAATTATCGCAATAAAGGTCATTTTAGAGTATATGCTAACGTGGGAAATTTTATTTTTATTTATTTACAACAAAGGTTTTGTAATAAAAACGATGGAGCTCCTTAGCTAAGTTTATTAACAGGTCAAAATGGCTACCAGTTATGTGCTTTTTAGTTGGTGCATATACCGTACCACTCTTCTGCAGATGCATTTTGAAGAGAACACAACTTGATCAGTGGTGCGGTTCATTTTGCAGACCCCCTCATGCTTGTCTGTGGACCTCCAGGGGTCCTCAGACCTTTGATTGAGAACAAAATGGCCAACATGTATGAAATAAATGGTTGATGTTTTAATGCCTAAAAAGTGCCCTGGTTCTGGAACTAACCATTTATAAATATATATCAATATACATTTATAAATATATATAGAAAACTAGTCCATACATGTACATGTACATATATTTAAAATAATAGGGATTAATAATAGCAGTTATAGCTAGTTATTAGCGGTTATGATTTGGAGACAAGCGGTGGGATTAAATAAGTATTACGTCTTTTTACTAATACAGATATGGTAATTAAGTAAATGTTGTTGAGTTTTTGTAAACTTATATTTGTCTTTTTGTTTATTGAATTATGATTTATGCTGTACAACCACGGCCTATTTGTTTGAATGGTTACTATGGTCACTGGACTTCCCACTTCCACAGTAAATTCTACACAGTAAGTTACTGTCTGTCATGTCGCTGTGTCAAACTGTGTTAATTCAGTAAAATCCTGAAACAAATCTGTCCATCTGTGCTCGGTCTGCTGTCTCCAGTTGGCCTGAGGGACGAACGTTTATTGCATCAACACTGGGGTGTTATTGTTATTGTTATTATTGCACAACGCTGCGACATTACGACTGAATTATTTACCAATTTTCACACATAGATTTTTCATCTCTGCATGAGAGACACTGAGCCTGAGCTGCAGCTGCTCCGACACTGACCTTTTCATGATTTACGCTGAGGATTTAAGATTTTATTGAAGTTATATAATCTCACGTGCAACTTTGTCAAAGACTCTGTTCTCTTTTACTGTCTTTTTGTTGAGGTTGTTGGTTTTAAACTGATCAAAGTTTCACTTCTACAGGTGAAGGCTAAGTGTGGTTAACACACACACATTTGACAGGTTTCATCTGAACTGGGCCACCAAACCAACCACAGTCTAGTGATCTACATCGTGGGTGAGTGGGCGTGCACAACAAGGTGGGGAGTCCACCCTCGACAAATACTCACCAGAGAAATAAACTGCAGAAAAGAGGAGTGAGAAAGAAAGCAGAAAGGAAGGAAGTCGAGGTGGGAGGCGGGCAGGGGTGTGGGGGGGCAAGAGAGGAGAGATGGGCAGGTGACACCCCACCAGGAGGGCAGAGAGCAAAGGGTTACAAAAGAAAACACTGGAAAAAAAAAACTGTTGGTAAAACAAAATGAGAGGTGTTGATCATAGAAACAAATGGATTGAGGAGACGATTGGAAATCAAAAAATAAAAAGATGAAGAAGGAAGGAGAGAAGAGATGAGGAAATGTGAAGGAATGAGACACAAATACAAAAGAGAATAAAAAAAATGTTGGCAGTGAAGAAACCGTTTCTACCTTAATCTCTCTCTGTTCCACCGATTTCTCCCAGATCTGTTGGTCGTAGGCGCCAATCTGGTGAAACAAAACAAAAAACAGAAACTTACATGTGTGAAAAAAGGAATAGTATTTATGTTCTAGAAATACTTTAAATCTTTTTTTTGAAGTTCTCCACAATAACAGAACAGAGAACATCATGGTTTGGGTGATTAGTGCTGGGTGAGTTAACCTCTTTCAGTGACGTTACTCATTTGTTAGCATTATTATCAGTTAAATAACACAAATTAATATTTATTCCTCAAAATTACATTGCACAAAGCACATTCAGAGAAACCACAAAACAGGAGGATGTAAGAAGCTATAATTTAGTAATCGTCTGTCTTAATTAATCACCTTATTACATTAATGGCATAATAACAAGTCAACGTGTCCAACCCTAGTACTTATAAAAGATATATTTGCAGACACACTTTTTAACCTGGGGAGAAAACCTGTTTGAGTTGTTGTTCTCAGGGAGGTGCTCTCTGAGAATCACAGGAACTGTTTTCACTAACGCTGCTCAGAACTCATTATAACTGCTGCTGTGATGTGGAACTATTGTTACTTAATGCTAGCATAAATCTGGCAGCTCAGAAAATTGGTCTAATCAAGAACATCTTTGACGAGGAACGTTGGGAACCAATTTGTATGTGCAATACCATGAGTAAATATGCAATATAATCGAAAATATATAATGAGCAAAGTGCGATATCGTCTAAAATACATTATGAGCAAATGTGCAATATATTTGAAAATATATCACTATCAATATTACGTGCAAACCTTTTTCATGACCTTTTCCAAAAACATTCTTAATTACCAATGTTTACGTTCTACAACCTTCCATTATTATTATTATTATCCTCAGATAATCACGCTAATATATGTGGTCTGGAGATTTAAAAAATAATAATAATAATAATGAAGACATGGCACAGCACTAAATCAGAGTGATTCATTGACAGCACACTGTGTCAGCCACGTGTGTCTTTCCTTCACTCTCTTTTATTAACTCTTGACCCTGTCTCTGCTGGTATGAGGCAAGAACCTGTGAAACTGGTCTGGGATCTGAGGTTCAACCTGAGTTTACAAAAGAAAAGAAAAAAAACTCTAGGAGAAGATGAATCGTCCATAAGCCAGATTGTTATTTTTTTATTTTATTTTTTTTTGGCGGATTTTCTTTTTTTTCTTTTTTTTCTTTGGCATTGTCGCAACATTTCAGCAGCTTATTTTAAAATTAAATTAAAAATTAGGTTCTCTCAACAATGGTGTGTCCAAGGCGTGGGGCCTGGGTGGAGCTGAGAGCCAATCACGCTGCTTGATTAAAAACAATGATGTTCCAGGAAACTAAACAATTATATGCTGACAAAACTGTCTGACTTTCAATGTTCTTCCACTGCAGCCTTTAGTTGTAACTGCACATTAACACACCCGTCAGGTTATGTCATACAGTCACTGAGGTTTTAAAGTAAACAACATTTAAAGGTAAACTCAAGCCTGCTGACAGTGGAACTTATTCACAAGCGCTTTAACAAGGCTCTGATACAGTCATATACAGCAGTTTTGGTTCACAAAAACCTGAATTGCTAATCCATGTCTATGCTTGTAATAATCATAATAAAGATGGGCATTACCAACTATTTGATTGGGGGGATGCATATTTAGAAAATACAAACCCCCCGCCATAATATACTTGAATATATGGCATTAGACCCACTTTAATGAGCCCAGACTGTCAACAACCAGCCTCCTAGCCTTTAATTTCCTTTATTTTTTTTGTTTATTAAGGAATGGTTGAGCCCATGTTAATGGTTCATTATGCAAATATACACACAAATATTGTTTGAAGAGTAAACAGGAAAACTATAGAGGGCAGTCATGGACCCAGAGGACCTGGTTAACAAGTGGAGATAAAAGAGGAAAGGAAAGAAGGTGGAGAAGAGGAGGAAGGGTGGAATGGAAAAAGTAGAGATTAATTAACTCTCTCACACACACACACACACACACACACACAAACACAAACAAACACACAAACACACACTTACATCATGCAGTAATCAGACAGTCAGCAGGGCAGTGTAAATCCTCTTACACGGAGACAAATACATCTGTGCAGCTCAAATGTTTCCCATTATGTTGCTAAAAAATATATAAGCCTTAGTTAATGCAACATAAGTCACCTTTCCTGCCTTTGTCTCCACTGAGCCTCGCTTCACTGCGCTCAGTGATTTCAGGGTGAAAAGTTAAACTGCTCGCTTGATTTTTGCTGCCCTCTGTGGTTAAATATTTATTGATCTGGTCGAGCGACAGATGGATTCTGCGCGACGGCCTTCAACCTTTTGCGTAAATCGTTGAGCTGAGGGTACGGTGGTGAAAGACGGCGGGAGACGACAACGATGCCGAGCGTAGCTGCAGCGGCAGAGTTAAGGGGTCACTATGACAACGGAGGGAAGAATGATCCAGGTGGGAGGGGGCAGGGGTGAGGGGGGTGAAGGATTATGCTGATGAAGTCGAGTAACCTTACATAAAGAAGAGTCTACGCAACGGAGGCTGTAAAGACATCTGATTACCAGAGGGTGGTGCTGACGTTTAGAGCTCACGTCTGCAACAAATATTCATGCATTCATGAGCGTAACACATTAACTAATACATGCTGTTGCATCCAAGCCAAACGAACACACAGCAGACTGTTGCCAGGCTTAGTTTACTGATTCTTCTGATTAATATTTAGAATGAGCCAACATTTAGTTGCAAACTTGATCACTCGACGGAGAAACAGTGTGACTGGCAAATCTCTCTGTCATTGTTTCCTCCCATAAATCCTTACAGAAACGAGTGTTATTTCACTAATGCCTCCAGTGGCTGCCAAAAGCCTTTATGAGAAACACAGTTCAGAGAAAAAAGGCACATTCTGGATGTGCAGAAAAGAGAAGTGATTTACTTTGCACAGCTAAAATGTCAGAGCTGGCAGCAGCACGACTTAGCAGTACTGTTCCTCTGTCAGACTTTCCTCTAATAAATCGCTAAAAATAAAGAGCACATTGAAATTTCTGAAAGAAGAAAAAAAGTCTACTAAATGTCAAAGTATTTATCTGTACAATTGTTAAACTGAGAAGAATGTGAGAATATGCCAATCTGGATTCCAGAATCCCAGATTTTGTAGAAACAATGGATTCTGTGACTGTGAGAAACAAGGCTCAAAAAGTCATTAATATAAAAGTATTTTTCCATAATAATCAAGACAGAGACAAACTTGTTTTTTTACCACGTAGAACAGGTTAATATATACAACATAATAATAACAGAAGAAACTGACCTAAAACAACTGCAGGTTAGCGTAAAAAGCTAAACAGCTAACAACAAAGTATAAGCTAGAAAATGTGTTCAATTGGCCAAACAACGGGTAAGCAACACAATATCACAGCAAACTAGCCGAAAGTACAAGTCTATAATAACGTAACTTAGCTACAGTTACAGAAAGAAAAGTTGGCCAGAATTTCACCAGCTTTTATTTGAAACTAGCTAAAACCAACTTGTCCTAGAGATCCCAAAGATAGCTTAATGTTAGCAAAAATATTTATCAAAGGTATAATAATTATAATTTAGCTAAGCTACATTAAAAACAGCAAAAATATCCCAAAGGTCAAGTAAACCTCACAAAATGCCAAAGAAATCAAGAAACAGCAGCTAAATATTAGCCAAAATGTGAAACTTTGCTAAAATATAACATATCTTTCTAAATTTCACCTCAAAATAGGTAAAAAAAAATAGCTTAAAGATAACAAAAAAACACAAAGATTGTTGTTTGGAAGATATGAAAAATTTTGTCAGCGAAAATATAGTCAAAAATGCGTAGCCAACTGTTAGCGTAGTAGCAAACTGAAAACTAAAATAAAACTTTTAACCACTGTTTTGATGTGGTTTAAACAAACATTTACTTTAGGCCCCACTGTTTTGATGTGGTTTAAACAAACTATAATAAATAGTTTGTTTATAATAAAAACATTTCTCCTAAATATGTTTTTTTTCCCTTCTCCCCATGTCACTTCACCTTTTCCTGACAGTAACAGTGGCCGTGGAAAATACCTCACCTGTTTGTGAGGTGTGGTCACTTTCGACAGGCTGACTAACCAAGTGAAAGAAAGACGTCAAGTGACACTAAGTCTTTGTGTGCACGAGAACACTTTTGGATTTGGAGACAGAAATCAAACTCCAGTCCATCTCACCACAATCTGATGCCATATAAAAAGATCAATTATCTAAATTAAAAACTTATTAGTTAAGGTTAAATGACCACAAACCACCCCCCCCCCACCCACCCCCACTCAGTGACATCGCAAGTAACAGACAAAACAATTACCACGATTTTAGGTCAAACAGCTGTTTGTGTCATGTGGATTAACCCCCCCCCCCCCCGTGCTGTGTTTTCACACAACCATGGCAACATGGTACGATCTATTCCTGACTCACACAGGTGTGTGTTTATATTTGACAAATGCTAAAGAGATGACATTTACAATTTTTACCAAAACAAAACAGAGCGCTATCACCCAGACTTAAAATCTGAATGTAAACAACCGTGATGCAGTCGTTTGAGTTAAAATATAATACTTGGACGAAATCGTTAAGAGGATCGTGACTTTCCATGTTCTACTTGACCTAAAAAAGAAAAGAGGACACAGCGAAAAAAACGTAATTAAAGAGTTCAACACAGAGCTCCAGAAGAACAAGTGGACTCTTGTGAGCTGCTCCAGCTGAAGTCAGCAGACAGACTGAAGGTCTGGAGCAGAAATGAAGAGTTCAGATTTGGGACAATCGATAAGTTCAAGAGACATGGGGCCTCAGAAGATATCAAATTGATTTCAATGCCCATGTGTTAATGCTTTCCATTGCAAACGTTGAAGTAATCACAATCTCTTTGTTGTTGTGTTAAGGAAATCAAAGCCACCAAGTGTGGTGACAACAAAGAAATCTGTGACCTCAGAGAGCAGCTGCAGGACTCTTGTGCTCCACAGATGGCGACGTTGACAGTTAAGATTCCTCCCTTTAAAAGTACAAGGAAAAGGAAGGAGGAAAAAACGCTCTGCCGACTGACAGTTTCCCTTATCTGTGTTCGGTCTAAGTCTAGTTTCACATCTGTATTGATATAGAATATTTGAAGACACCCGTCAACGCCATCCACCCAAAACAGCTGACAGCGGTGAAAATCATTCTGACTGAGACCTGCTGATCCTGCAAAGTCATGAATCTTCACACTGCTCACTGACGGAAATAAACTGTCACATTCTAAAACAGAGCCTCAAATCCAACGCTGCACAAATAAGCTGTAAGCTGATTAGATACCAATTTAACAACAGCGCGGCGGTCACAGGTTAACAGTTAATGAGCAGAAGCTTAAAGAAACGCTGAACCAGGGCCAAAAGGAAGCTGACAACCAGCTTCCTACTCCACAACATCAAACAGTGAGTCAGTCTGTCTCCTGCTGCTGAGGCAGACAGTGTCTTCACTGTGATATGGGCCGCGGCTGGAAAAGAAGGGCACGCTGCACACAAGCACCGAGTCTATTTAAGGGCTGTGCTCAGACGAACAGGGTCAGAAATACACTGTGACTCATGTGGGCGTGCGACAGGTTTAAAGTCGGTGACCGTAAAGAGATCGGGACCTTTTTGTAAGTACACATACAGGGTTACCAGCCAAGATCACAGTGTGAAGTTTCTGTTGCCACATGATTGACCCTTTGAGTCCTTTCTATTTTTACGGCACATACTGTGTTTATCAAAGCTGTGTTTTTACCACACTGCACAATGAGCGGTTTATGGAACTATTTCCAAGGAGTTAACTTGATCCTGCTTAGAAAAATTGAAAGTTCTGTGGAGAGCATGCAAATTAGTCAATGTTGCAATTGTCTATCTTTAGAGGAAAGTGAACACAGCACACCACTGCACACAACCAAATGTGACCTCTGCTTTTAACCCATCACCGCCCGGGGAGCAGTGTGTTGGGATGGTGTCATGCAGACTCGAACCTGAAACCTTCCGGACCCAAGTCCGCTTCCTTCAGCTCAGCCAAACAAAACCCATTGGTGAGCCATTCTTGACCTTTTGCTTCTGCAGGTTTTTACAACACTGATTCTTATAAAACTGCCTCTCATCAATTCTAAATCAATTCTCTTTTATTAGGAACTTTACACCTTCATATTTTCACATACACTCCAGCTAAAAGGACCCCAATACTGTTCTAACTTTTGATGCAACATTTCAAAAATTTGCAAAACTCTACCCTTAGAACCCATCATGTTACAGTACTCATGTATTGAACATCTATCCAACAAACCCACTAACATCTAACACGCACCTCTTCTTACTCTATTGACTACTATGACTACAACTGTACTTTTACTATTTATTATTTATTACTATTTATTAATAATTATGTCTTTTTGTATTTTGTACGTTAGCTTGATTGTTGATTGACTGACTCAAATTTTAAGTCGCTTTGGATAAAAGCGTCTGCTAAAAGTATTGTAATGTGTATGATGTAAATATGATGTAAAAATATATGCAATATGCAGTGATCCCAAAATAAGTTTGGGATCACTGCAAAAAGTGAAAAGACATCTGCACAATATATTTATTAATACAATAATTTATAGCCTTAAAAGCACGAAATGATCCTTTAATAGTATATTTAGAACAGATTTTTAATAATGTGCAATTAATTTGTGATGAATCAGAATTCAGAATTCTGATTAAAATTCTGAATTTTTTTTGTACTTTATATGAAACGCACAAAGAAATTGCCTCCAGGGCCAATCATGTCAAAAACGTCCTGTATTTCAGTAACTGAAATTAAACACACTCTAAAACAAGCAGTAGCATCAACGGTAAAACAAATCTCAGTCACAACCTCCAAACTGTTTCTTTCCACCATGTGTGGCCTGTCAAGTGAAGATTTGTGTAATTAAAAATCACTGACACTTAAGCACTCTCCTGCAGTGCTTCTTAACTTGGCAGCACTTCATCTGTTTGCTTAAAGCCAAACCACAAAGTACCTTCTACGTTCTCCTACTATAACTAAAGACAGAAACCAACAACCCAATATAATCTGAGCCCCAGTTTGCTCTTCGGGGCTAATCTGTCGCCCGTGGCTACATTTGTAGATCGCAGAACTGGAATGGGCAAAAAAAAAAACACTAAAGAGATAAATACAATGTGGTCGTGGTGACTCGAGGTGAGAGGATAAGACTGATTGGTCATGATGTATGAAGCTCTACAGTTACGCCGTTCACCAGTGTCAGTGTCCTATCTTATTTGAAGTCAAAGGAAAGCACCAGATGAGTTTGTTTCCCAGGCAGACGTCAGAGATAAAGCAGCCCTCAGGGCAGCAGTCAAAAGGGCGTGATCTCCAGAAGGGTTTTTTATTCCGTCATGACTCAGCAGTTGCCATTGCTGATTTGCATGTGCTCCGACAAGCTCTAAATCCAGGATCTAGGACTAATCTTACCGCTGTAAGGTCTCATTAAAGTCTTAGGGTAACTTTAAATCTCACCATTGACCATTGCAGACAACAGGGGGAGAAAAAGGAAACAAGTCAGAGAGGCTGAGCTTTGGTGAGGGTTTAGAAAGTCATTTCAACGTTCCTTGAGTTCTACTGAGTGTAATATGACTCCAGAGAAAAATCTGTCAGGTTTCAGCAGGCTGTCAAACTGAGAGAAGGAAGGCAACGGCACAGGCCCATTTCTTCGTCAACCATTTACACCTTAGAGTTACAGGTTACCTCCTATACCCCATACATCTGGACATGACAGCTTAGCCCCACGTCTAAAGACTTAAAACAATAGGGCTGACCCGACCACGTACAACTAAGTCAACTATTAGACTACAGCTTAGAGTCGACCTGTTGTCGTTAATGTGCACTAATGAATAAACACTCATCATCATCATCTGTCTCTGCTGAAGTCAGCTTTAGTTTGGTAATGATGTTGTCCGCGATGCCAGAACCATACACACATGAAGCTCTGGATCGTATAAAATGATGTGTTGAGCTGGATTTGGACCATGGGCCTTGAGTTTGACACGTGGTCTAGAGCACAGTGTCAAACTCAGGCCCGGAGGCCACATGTGTAATTATATTTGGCCCGCAAGATCATATCAAACGTGTACTAGAGTTGGCCTGCCGGTATATAGCGCCTATATACTGGCAGGATTTGTAGTACTAGTGGTGCCTGCGCTATTTATATATATATACTGTATATATAGTTATAGCACACACGTTTTTTTTGTCGTTGCCTGTGGATAAAAAAAATGACATTAAAAAGGAACTCCAAAGGCTACAGATAAAGAGACATGATAAGAAACACTACTGATGTGTTTTTCAAATTTAATTTCTCATGTGTTTATAATATTAAGCTTTAGTTGTTTGAGATTCAATGTTTACGCAAAATTTAAGTTTGTTTCAATTTAATTTTTCAATAAATATTAGATTCGGCCTGCGACTTCGTCCCAGTTTTTAATTTCAGCATGTGATTCAGAGGATCACATTTTTAAACAATTGTGGTCATGATGTCGTGCAATTTCATATTTTTATATAATGAGCATGAATTAACACAATTTCCAAAACAAGACTGACTTTAACAGAGAACTGAACTCTCCAGCTGGGGTGACCTGCCACTGTTGCTTAGAAAAGGTCATGAGCATAAACACTGAATTTTTTTTTTAAAGACATATACAACCTGCCACTGTTGCTTAGAAAAGGTCACGAGCATAAACACTGAATTTTTTTTTTTTAAAGACATATAATTACTTTTGTACTTGACTGTTATTGTCATCGTTGCCCAAGAAATTGTTTTTTCCACAGTAAAAACACAGTCTCCCTAGAAAATGTTTTTGCACAAAAAAAAGACTCATTTAAACAGCATTAAAGCACTGCTTGAGTCGAGTGTGGATGCAGCTGGAGATGAGGGGTGAGATTTAAGTAGCAGGTCAGACAGGACACAGGAGAGACATGAAAACAGGGTCACGAAGACAAGGAGACACAGGCTGGTGAGGACAGAGAGCCAAATAAAGCAGGCAGTAAGCTGAGAGCTGTGAAGGTACAGCGCTGGGGTCCAACGGAGGATCTGATATCTGATACCATGGAACAAGAAGACACACAACACCAAGCTGGGTTCACACTCAGCTGAACCCACGTCTCAACTTTGACCAAAGAGTTCCTCGATAAATTCTAAAAAAATATATGTTTTTTTATTTTTATTTTACATCATATAACCTGAATTTCCTCATTTCTGTAGACAAATCAATAAAGTTTGTTTTATTGTCACATGTATGTAAATGCCACTAAATATAAATGCAAAATATAAACGACAGATCAATTAAAAGGTATCATGGACAAAAGTCATTATTTGTTTTTACAATTCAACCATTTGCCACCAATAGGGCTGCAACCTTTATGTTTGTTTGAGGAAATTCTGTGAGGATTTCAGTTGTTGTTTTTTCCCAGAGGCCAACATTTCAGTTTTACTGCTGAAAATGAAAAATCAGATTTGATTCAATTTGATCAAATTAATTTAATAAATTAGACCAATTTAAAACATTGTTTTCAGCTTTTGGGAAAACTAAAAAAAAAAGATGAGGGACTGTAGTCAAATATAGCAACAAGAAAACAGAAGTTTTTTGTCTTCTTCCTAGAAATACCATTAGCATTTTGTTTTTTTGCTGAAACCACCAGAGGCACTGAGAATATTTTCATATTTAACCACAAGACAGAAACAACAATATTCTGGTGATGTAGTGATACTTTCAACAACATGGAATTGTCAAAGCTCCAAAAACCTTCTTTTTATCTCACGTCTTCATTATTGACTTGGTTGCACAGCAGAGAGGAAACAAAAGGAAAGAGAAAAATATATGGAACCTTACCTTTTTCTGGTACCACACCACAGCATCTTTTACTTTGGAAGCCATTTACATTTCTCTTCTCTCCGCCTAGGGCATCTTAGACTGAAAACAGAGAACACAGAGAGGCAAGAGGAAGAGGTAGGGAGGGAGGGAGAGAGAGAGAGAGAGAGAGAGGTTGTGTCAATGCCAAGGTAATAAGGCAGAGGGAGGAGGGTTTGTGTCTATATACCTGTAGGCAGGTGTGTCCTGACAACTGAAAAAATGTGATTTATGTGAAGGTGTTCACTCTGCATCTTCTCATACACACCCCACACAGAAAGACACACAAACACACACCTACTATCATATAAAGATAAAAACAACCCGTTATCTCCAATGACAGTCGCTCTACAACTTCAACAAACCTTAAGGAAACAACTCCAAACACACTGTGGTGGTGGAGTGTTTCCACCGAATCATAACCTGACAAACACACACACACACACACACACACACACACACACACAGACCCACAAACATCTCCGGACGTGACTAATTATAGCAAGGTCGGACAAGGCGTTATTTTTGTCTGTAACGATGGTTAAAGTGTCAAAATAAGGGGCGGGGTCTGTTGACAGGGCTGGAAGAAACCCAGAATGAAGTCGCTGCTTTTGCATGCACCGCAGTGTTTCCCATGTACTGGTGAATCCGCCGTGCAGCGTCAGAGAGACAACGAACTGATCTCAGAACACATGATAAACAAACCCAAGGTTCCATTGACTCAGAGGCGACTGCACCAGGAAAAGTAACATGAGCTAACATTCAGAGAGAGCGAGAGAGGTAGAGAGAGACTGAGACTCCACAGGGAATTATGGACAGAAAACAACATTTTCCGTTATCTGCAGCTGTCACACAAACCTCTGTGGTCAACGGAAAACAGTACCAACAGCCAGCTGACTGGAGTACTATCAGTACCTAAATATACTGGAATATACTGTAATTATGCAAGTACTGAAGGGAAATTAATTTAGTATCCATTGCTCTGAACAGTTCCCAGATGAAAATTTTGCTTTTAGCAAGTAAGCTAAGGGAAACAGTAGCTCACCTACTTGTTTGCTACTTGACTTTTCAACCAGTTCCTGCTTTACAGCAATGTTATTTTCTGTAACTTGAAGGGTGGGCTAGCGGCTAATTATCACAGATCTTGTCGACAAATAAAACATTCAACTTCGCTCTGCCCTAGCCTGATGACTGCTGCGATTGGCTCCATCTTTTGGCGACCCTTGAAGGGATGAAGCGGTATTAGCGTTTAGAAAAGACCGTGGACGTGGAATTTACAACAAGCAATCTCTGCTTAATAGTTTTCTTCACACTGCCTAAAAAGGCACATGCTACGGTCATTTCATTGGTCGGTGTTGATGACTAGTTACAACAGTTAGAAAACCTGTCTCCAAGGATCCTGGACTTGGCCTTGGTTGTATTTTACCGTCTAGTTATTGGGCCAGAACAACCAATTTCATTGTTCATCGTTTTGTCCATGTACCATTTTTGCACAAACAAAATCCATTCCGGAACATTAAGATATTCTTATCAAGTACTAACAAGTGTTGAACTAATGATGTATTATATGAGTCACTTCACTGCCTTGAACAGACTATTAGACAAGTCTTCAATCACTTCACTGCCTTGAACAGACTATTAGGCAAGTCTTCAATATCTATTATGCCACAGTCTTGCTGGTAGAATAAGGACACAGTCACTTCTGGCTTCCTGTTCTCTTCAGTGGTCAAAACAGACGTTACTCCAGAAACTGTAGACTTCCATTAAAATAAACAAATCTATTCAAAGCTCTAGGTCAGACATGAACAGGATGGAGAGGTTAAAATGTGTTATTCTTCAGTAATTCTTCCTGGCTTACCAGAAAAGAAATCATGAATAAACACATAAGGAAGTAGGTCTAAATTAAAGGTATGTGGTTACAGTTGATTTTCATACAGGTTTTAATTTAGCCTTCTCCTGAAATTGAAGCTCCACTTAACTAAAATCAGCAGACAGTTTACCATACAACCATGACTGTTGCTGAGGTGTGCAGGTGAAGCCTGCAGTGTGTCAGTGTGTTACAGCCAGCGTGTTATTTCAGTCAGTCGACTCTGAAACAGGATCTTCTGGTGAAGGAGGAGACACCGGCTCGATTGTTGTGACACTGAGGTTAAGACACTGTTTTGCCCTTGTTTCACTGATGGAAACTGTAACACATGCATAGAAAATACACATGCCGAGCCAACGGTCAATCACCAAACAGTACTATAGAGCAGAGCTCCTAGAACTTTATGAAGCTGTACACCTCCAACGACCTATAGACCTAGAAGAGACTTACAACAGACAAGATCGTATCCCATTAAAATAATGTTCAACTGTAAATAAGCAACAGATATTAGATATTTCACGTCTATTGTATTTTCCTGACTATAAGTTGCACCAGTGCCCTCTTGCCGTCAGTGTGAAAATAATGAACATGTACATTTTCAGTGGTACAGGAGTAGCAGATACTGGCACACAAGCCTCGAGTGCCTTCTAGTGGCTGTCAGTGTGAAAAACATTTGAAATTATATATTTTAATCTATAAGTCGCACCTGAGTATAAGCCGCAACCCAGCCAAAGGATGGAAAAAGTGAGACTTATAGTCTGGAAAATAAAGTACTTTGATTTTTTATCAATCGCCCTTCTCCATTTTCATCCCTGAGTTGCAGATCCATCCACACAAGTATTTTCCTCTTTGTAAGGCTAAGTGGTCTGACTCAAAAATGTGAACGCACACTGAGGGTGACACAGCTGTGCGACTAATCTTATCAAACCACCACATTATGTTTATTCACACAATCAAATTTCGGACAGAGCTGAACCAGTGTCAGCGTGAGAAATGAGCCGAGGAGCTAAAAGTCTTGAAATGAAAACAGTTCTATACCTACGAGTGAACAGTTTCAGTCTTTAGCAGCGACTCTGTCTCTCACGTGCACATTTCGACTACCAGCAGTCTTATATGCAGAACCGAAAGCACCCTGCAGAAATGAATGTGCATTTCTCTGCAGCTGTGTCTCAGCAGCCAAGAGACATTTTTAGCAACAGGAAGACAGCATTTTTCATTTTTTACAATCAGGACTCCTTCCTCCATCTCTGACTGCCGAGCCACACAACCACAACACTTCTTTTACACTTTGGTACTGTGCACCAAATCCACTCTAAGGGAAAGGGAGAGACGGAAGGGGTTAAATAATTGCCTGTCGTGCCTTTCATGTCCAGCGGTTGAACTACCAAATGAGTTATCAGGGGCAATAAAAGGCTTCATAACTTCACTGACGGAGACCGAGGCTGTGAAAGACAGGAACAGTGGACACTTGAAGCTAAGGCTGTGAGAGGGAGTGAGAGGTAATCTCCGCTGCCCTTCCTGTCCTAACAAACACAGATGATTTTATTTCTCAGTCTCGCACAGGAGAAAACACTCCTCCCTGCTCCCTCACTCTGTATCCACACGGCTCCAGCACCGATTAGCTAACTGTTTAGCTTCACAGGGAGGTAAAACAGGAAGCTGGATTAAAATATATGAATTAGGGTCGTCGAAACATGAGCTGGAAGACGGAGCGCTGTACATCCAATAAATCCACCGTCCATCAACCTAACGTTGCTAAAACAAACATAGTCGAAACATATATTGTTATTTGCACACACTGCGGGGAAAACTATTTTATTCTACAAAAGCAATGCAAGCTTTAAATACCACTTCAACACCCAGCATGCATTTGTGCAGACTTCAACTTTGGAGCATAATTTTCTTGACATTTTTTCGAATAAATTATTCATCATTTTGATTTAATCACAAATAACAGATGTGAAACACAAACATTTACCAGCTGTTATTTGTGTTTCTTTTCCAGTAATTTACGGTAAAATAAAACTGTTTAAAAATGTTAAATTATTTCAAATATTCTTGATAAATCGTGATTATTATGATCTCAAATAATCCTTTTAATCCACATTTACCTTGTGAATACTAAAAATTAGTAATCGTCTCAGTATAAATATTATAGGAGTAAAAGTACACGTAACCACAGCACACGAGTAATGTTTTATTTTTTAACGTGTTTAGAAGTAGAGTAGGTGACCACAGTGGAACAATACATTTTTTTTCTGCTGGAAACACGTGCCAGAGCAATTATAGCACTGGTTTTGTCACTTAGTCCAGCCACTAAGCTAAGCTAATAAACAAGAAATTAGCATGGACAAGACAGATATGGCAAAAGAAAACAATTTGTTACTATAGAAGTCATCGCTCTCTCTAAGTTCTCGTGGAACGCTATCGTTTTAGCATGGACAAGACAGATATGGCAAATGTAAAAGAAAACAATTTGTTACTACAGAAGTCATCGCTCTCTCTAAGTTCTGGTGGAACGCTATCGTGATTATCTCTGCTGCTAGTACCACATCAAAGGTGAGTTTGAGACACATTTCCTCCGTAAGACTTCCCCCCTCCCCTTGTGAAACAACGGTTTGTGGCACTGATGGACAAACTGAATGTGAAGATGATTTCCACTTTCTGCACATTGGGTTTTTTTTTATACTTTTCATTTGAGCTCCTTCCTCGTTGGTTATCGGAATCACTCTTACTTCAACTACAAAACAAAATATTTACTACCGTTTACATTCTTTTAGTTTCACTTTGTCATCGATCATCCTGTACGCAGAGGAGGAAACAAATACACTGCAGTTTCCCGTAGATGTTTATTTTGAATTAATTTTTCAACTATATTTTCTTCAGTGTACCAGAACATTTTGCTGATATTTCTACGTATGTATCAAGGTAAAAAACTGAAACTCTCCACCATCTAAAACAATCTCAGCACTGACAAATGGTACGTACACTTTTTCATCAGAAAACTGGGATTAAATTATTAAACATCATGAAGATGGAAGGGGTCTGCTAATGAAAAAAAAACACAGCATCGTTTCCTTGCAGCAGAACCACAAATGAGAGGCTTTAGACGCCAACCCTCAGTGTGTCGTTCCAGGTTATTTGGTTGGTTCATGCTCGTGATCCAAACACAAACTATTTGTTTTCTCCTGGTAAATAAGGAAACGTGTGCCACGCACTAACACGGCCTTACACACGCAATTTTCTCAGAACTGTCCAGACTGAAACTGACTTAGAGCGACCAGACACGTATCCAGACACAGCGACACTCCATTATTAGTGGACTGACGTGCACCACAGACACACACAGACGTGTTTTTCTGTGTTTAAATCCCCCCCCCAGAGACTTTTTGAAAAATACGAAACCTCAGATCCTCCCTGTACGATAAGAAAGACGAAGCAGCTCCTCCACCGTTAAAGCCTGAAAATCCCTCCATCATCCTCGGTGATGCCGAGTCACACACAGTGTCAGACCAAAACACACACACACACACATTATTACTACTATTGCCTAATGCTGCCATAGATGCAGATTAGCTGTGAACTGCAAGGTTATTATTTATGGTGGAAAATGTAACCAGGTTAAATAGACCAAAACGAAAACAAACACACCCACCCACACACACACACACACACAGAGAAAACCACACACTCAGTGTTTGCAAAATACGCTGTGGTTTGCTAAAGAGTATTTAGGGAACAGGACCCAGACAAGGCGCAAACACACTCAGGCACACAAACACACACTGAAGTTGTGTTCTCATCACAGTAGAATTTAAACATATACGTACACACACACACACGTACACACATATTCACTGTGGTCTTTCTGACCAACGGGCTGACCCATTTAAAGAAGGGACCGCGGCCAAGTGAGACAGCATGTAGGCCACGGTCTATATGAGAGTACTCTTTGTAGCTGCTATACGGTGTGTGTATGTGCATGTAATACACACTAAAAAGTGTGAGTTGGTGTGTGTATTCCTGATATAGCTATAGTTGTGGGGATTTTTTTTTTGCAAAACGCAAATGCTGTGTGATACTTGTCCATGTGAGGGCATCTAACAAGTCGAGTAATGGCCTATTTGGAGTTTCAATTAGAGTCAGGTAAGAATTAGGGCAAGGATTGAGATTAACAGTTATGTGTAATGGAACAAAATAAGGTTAGAGTCTAGGAAATGCATTAAGCCTATGATTTAAAATGACTGCAAAACGGAAGAAACAGTCTGTTCGGGTGGGTTGGTGGGCAGGGGGGTCCTGAGTGTAATTGACCTTACTGTTATGTCGGCAGCAGCCACCGCATGAATGCTAATGTGAGTCGGGGTCAGTGGAGAACACAGAACAGTCTTAAGTCTTTCTTTCTCTCCCTGTGAGTTAAACGGTTTTGTATAAAGAGATCAGAAATGTTTCAAACAAAAAGAATCGTTATTTACACATTTAGATGCCTGACCATGAACTTCATGTGGGACACACTTCAAAACAAAGTATTAAACGAAAAACAAACACAATTAAAAAAAATAAAAAAAATGTGTCTTTTGCTCAGGACTCCAATAACTTAATCAGACACAACAGACTCTGATACTAACAGAAGAAAGTCTAAAAGACGTTTTACTTAGACGATTTAATGACCCTTCAACGATGGTGCGGTGTTACCAGTCCACAGCCAACGTTCCTTGGTACAAAAAAGGTTGGGAACTGTTGACGTAAACCATCAGCATCACATACCAGGGTGTGAACTGAAAAATATGTCGTAGTCTGCAGGAGGCTAATGGTTTCAGAGACCTGAACCAAACAGAGTGTGTTTATTTCTCCCTGTTTTCCTTTTAATGCACCGCAGTGTTAAGTGCCTCGCCTGGACGACTGATGAAAAAACACGTGAAGAAGAGGAGACCTCCTCGAAGAGTCTGGTAACCCGTGATGTGAAACACTAGCTGCTCTGCCTCTCTCCGGCTGCTTTATATTTCATGACGGGCGCAGGTTACATCTCCAAGCTGATGTGTGTGTGTGTGTGTGTGTGTGTGTATGAATACCAATGGGAAATATGAGGCCGCGCAATCAGTGACAAAGGGTCAGAGGTGACGGGGGTTTCTGAGTTTGTGTGCACGTGTGTGTGGGTGGGATGCATGTTTTCCTCAGTGAAGGGTGATTCCCTAACTAACTCAGCTGACACACAACAACCCTATGGAGGAGCGACAGACACACAAACAGACACTTGTCAGGAGTCAAAGTCTGGTCATAAAACAAGATGCGCAAATAAAGTGTGCGGTTAATATGGAAACAAATACGCAGCAGTTTTTTTTCTCACGTGTTTTGTTCTATTGTTGTAGCTCAGATGTACGCATGCTGTAGATTTATTCTTGGTTCTACGGTTCTATCGAAAAAAAGGTTGTTTGTAATGCCAAAGAATTTGCCCTAAGGAGTATCAATTCCATCCATCCATCCATTTTCATCTGCTTATTCGTTACCGGCTCGCGGGGGCAGCAGTCTCCACGACCGCCACCCAAATCACACTGCACCGTACCAACCCCCCTGAACCTTCCACTGAGTCCATCAGAAGGTACCAACCGCCCTAACCGGGATTCGATCTTGCCCAGGAGGTGAACCCTGAGGTTCCACACCAATGACAGAGACACTGCCTCTGGGCCAAAGTGCCACAGGTATCAACTAAGTCATTCTAATTCTGTACAAATACTGATTTCTTAAATACAGTATGCAGGAGGTCCTCGGTTTACGACGTCCTCGGATTACGGAGTTTTGTAGTTCCTGCACCATCTCTAATAATAATTATAACCTGAATTCTTAACCGATATTAAAGGGATTTTCATGATTTCATAAAAAAATATTTGGGGATTTTTCTTTGACATTGACTTGTTACGTGACATTTGTGCAGTTAACGGCATCAAATAAGAGGATTAAATGTTAGCTGCAATTTGATAGTCAAGGTTATATGAATCGGCAGGAAAACACACACACACACACACACACACACACACACACACAGCCGTTCATGACTGTTGGCATCACGTCTGAGATGAGGAGAAAAAAGTGAAGTTAAAAAAAACAAACAAAAAAAAAAAAAACATCACACTTCCCCAATTCAGAGGAGGATGTGTTGCAGAGACAAGTTTGGAGTGTGTTGTGGTGTGTCTGCGCGCGTGCGTGTGTGTGTGTGTGTGTGTGTGTGTGTGTGTGGGGGTGTGTGTGTGTGTGCAGCTGTCACCTCTCGCAGCAACAAAACAAGTCTGTTTTGAAGCATTTCGATGCGTCAACAAAAATAAGGAGATGTGGTTAAGAGTTCATACAAACTGCCAATATACACTGACAAACACACACACACACACAAACAAACACTCATGACTTACCTCTGGGTGGGCCAAGCAGCAGACTAACTTTTCTTTCTTACTGCCAAAGTAGTTCAGGAGCTAGATGGAGAGAGAGAGAGACAAGAGAGAGAGAGAGATGATCACATGTGCAGCAGCAGCAGCGTCGTCATACACCGGTCACCAAGTCATTCCGTCTAATTACTCTTCCAATACATGGCATCTGCCACACATTCTGCTTCAACAGCGTCACTGGTCACAGAGACCACGTACTGTATTTTCTGGCGTACACGTGACACGTGTTCATAATAGTCTGGCTGGTCCTGCGACTTGTATTCCAAAGCGACTTACATATCAAAATTAATTCACAATCCTGCGACTTGTATTCCAAAGCGACTTGCATTTACTTAAATTATTCCACACGTCATTTACGTCCACAAGAGAGCAATGTCTAACCCATGAGCAAACCATCATCCTCATTATCATTATACTTCTGCCTTTTCCTTGCAATACGACATTTCCCCAATAGATGGCATGGAAAATGATAAAAGCATATTAGCATTTTAGCCTTTATGCATGACTTTTACATGTTGTTTATCATATCTATCATTTACTGTTCTTTCTCACACAAACACTCGCCCGCGAGTCAAAACGTTTGCCCATGCCTGGACTCACCCTTGGGACAACTGGAAACTGCTAGTGCACTGCAAAAATGACAAGACCAAACTATAAATTGTTTATCATATCTATCATTTACTGTTCTCTTCTCACACGAACACTCGCCCGCGTGCACTGCTGAAAAATGACAAGACCAAACTATAAATACTTTCTTAAAAAACAACATTCATTCTGCATTAAACAGAAACAGTTTAAAAACTGACTTTTCAAGCACCTCGTGTATTTTTATCACCTGCATAAAAAAAGTATTTTCTGTACTTTGTACTCAACACAACCAAAAAGATAATTTGACACTACATGTTTTGCTATCTACCTACTGACAACAAGTTCGACCAAGTCTGGAATTGAACCCACAACTGGGCTGGAGAGAAGTCAAAAGTTCATCAATGTGAAATGAAGCATTTATTTTGCAAACAGAAAAAAACAGTTCTCTCTTCCTCCCACACTGATATTTCATGGTACGGTCTGCAAGGTTAACAACTGTTACAGCATCAGTCTGGATCCGTCTGCATCACCTGCTGCAGGCCAGTTTTACTGCAGTACCGTCGTACTGTTTTTTTTTTCTTTTTTTTTCCATCAGCAGCCACTTGTTCTCTCAATGTGACCTTTTCCACAGAGATTACACCCATGGCTTCATTTCTTTGAGTTATGGCCACATACTGCGGGCCACTCTGCAGCTATATAAGATGATACAGCAATCTAGCAGCGTGTGATGTAACCGAATGCAGCCGATGATGTAATAGACTCTGCGGGCAAATTCAATACAACGAGCGTCGTCTTCAGGGGTGGTGGAAGAGACAGAGACTTGAGAGGACTGGCTTTTCAGACAATAGAATGGAGTCTGGGTGTAGATACAGTGTTAACACACACACACACACAGTCAGACAGTGCGGTACAGTTGTATTACAACAGATCAGTGGAAAACTAAAGAACAAAAGGCTGCTCAAAAAGGTAGAGTTGGGCGAGCGATGCCTCCACGGCCCTAGGTCTTCAGCTAAATCCATTACTGTTGTAATGATGCAAACCAGTTGAACTTAACTCTTTTGTTTCTATAACAGTTTTATGATCATACAATGGAATCATCAACATCGTAAATTTTAATTTAATTTATTTGTCCTCGTTCACCTCACATGTTCAGACCACTTTACGAATTTACGCCCAGCTAAACACATACTTCTGAAATCCCTGTTGGCTGAAGCCAGGCTAAAACATTACATCTCTTCAGAAACTTTAATGAGGAGTATGATTTAAATAGTTTTGAGTTCCCTCCCTTAGAGTAAATGTGGCGCAGCTGAGTCAGAAAGAAGAAACGCCAGGTGTTTGGCATCAAGATTAGGCAAGAGAAGGCAAACATGACTGTGAAGAGTTAGTGCTGAGACTATGTAAACAGTTTTCTTTTTAAAAATATGACTCTTTTTAATTAAAGGTTTTAGTGCCAAAAGAGATGTTACAAAAAATGTACTGCAACAGCAGACTGAGAAAATAACTGTAGCCAGAGATTAACCTCTCTAATGTATCTGCTAACTGAAGGATTGACACAGATGTTCATTAGCATAAGAAAATGACCAATTTTACCTTTAGTGTTGACTTTTGACTGATTTGTGTCACAGAGGTAAAAGCAAAGGATCCTAAAAAGGTAGGACCTAATGATGGAGACAGCACTGGATCACAACCTCCTGCGTACCGTGATATAAATATCAATGGACTTTTGTGTAAAAAGGTTAGCAACTTACTGGGCTAAACAGTCTTTACTCTTCAGTTAGGTGGTTGAAATGCCTCTTACCCTTACTGTGATGGAGAGGACAGCTCTCTACACCCTTCACCCACCCTCCACAGTGGTATACACATGCACTGATCAAAACAAAAATGTTTTTATTCAACTTCTACTAGTTATTCCTTCCTGCGACCCTGAAAAAACAAAGTTCAAGGTCCTAAATACATATTAACATAATGTAGTTACACCCGCAGGGGCACCCCGTTGCATCTCCATCTTTTTTTTTCGAGGGGCAGGGGGGCAGTTTGTCAAGCTCCACTAGCCTACGCTCCACTGTAACGTACACTGCACATTAACCTTACAGCCTTATCTACGGTGTTAACTCCCTGGTGTGTCAGGTGTGTGTAAGGACAACCAGCACATGTGCTGTTGTTACTGAGCAGGCAGGAATGGTGATTTATCTCATCTGTCACCAGTAAACAAACACAATAGTTTTTTTCGGCAACCTTTTGTTGCGTCGTTGTACACTGTACCATCTGTGGATGTAGGTTAAAAACATGTGTGTGTTTCTCTGGTGATATTTCTGAGGGATGATTTAGGGGAGACATTTTTAGTTGACCTGTTGACCTTCGAATGTTAACGCCACAGTATCACAGAGTGGACGGTTGACAACGCCGGCTACTGCTTTGGGTGACACTGACGTGTTAAATTCTTGGCTGAGATCCAAAACACAGTCAGGAATAACTGGTGCAACAATACAGGACTCTTTACATAAGTCAGTTATGCAGAGTGTGGTCAGACATAGAGTGCGTAGATATCATCCTAGCTTCCTAATATCCAACAGGTTCATACTGTTCAGGTCACCAGGATGTACCCCAGCTTTAATCTATGACTGCTGAGACTGGCTGCAGTCTTTGGTGTTGACCTTAGCCATAACCGAACCGGCTGCTGTACTCCATAGATTTAAATGCAACGATGCTAATTCGAAAATCAGCAGAGCACTTTTCTTCGTTTTTCTTCTTAAATAATGTCTTTCAGTACTTTAACAGCGACTCTACATCCTCTGAGTTGCATTACTGCCACAGAATGTCTGCAGTTTTGTACTAATTAACATTCCTAGGACCGTCCTACATACTGCAAGTCAACATACCACCATACACTTCTAGTGGCGACCAAGAGAACGACCCTACTTTAATACGACGCGGCGGTTTGTTGTTAGGAAATCTCTATACTGCGTTATATTGTGAAATAGGTCAGTGGTGAAGTAGGTTTGTTTTTGTATATGTGTGTGTCTTCACCCACCCCCCAAAAAAAGGACTCGACCTGTGGCTCGTTGTAAATCAACTACAGAGCAGCTAATCTGCAGCTGCCTTTCACGCAGACCGCTTTCTATTGTCTGAGTCTTCACTTTCCACTACACACAGTCTCTTCCTCCTTCTACTCCTCCTCCTCTACCTCCTCTCCTCTGCCTACCGTTAGCTAAAGCTACCGGCAGCTTTGACAAAGACAGCTGTCCTTCTGTCTGTCTCTATCCTGCTTCTTCACAAGGCAGCGCTGACTCTGTTGTCCAAACACAACGACATTATTTCCTTACCCGTTCTCTGAGACACGTAGAGTCTCCACAGACGTGTCTTTACTCCGCTTCGACTCCTCCACTCAGCTCCATTGTAGTGAGGCGATGCTGCTGATGCGAACTGAATCTCTGCCCACCGATGTTTGAAGCGCTAGCTTTGCCCTTCTGTCTCCCAGCACTGTAAAAACACAAGTCTAGCTTAGAGCCGTAAGATGCTGTGTAAACGCGCCAACAGAATTTAATACGAAGGACGATAACTTGTTGGGGATCGAGATATGAGCAAATGAAAGAGGTTCGTTCACAGCATAGATAGTTGGGCTTCAAGAATATTTTAAAATTATTTGTAAAAAACAAACAAACGCTGTCCTTTTTTTTTTTGGTACATGTTAATCACAGCGGAGACTATGCAGAAGAACTTTACTTACCTCTTGTGGACATTACTAGTAACTACAGCAGTATAATGTGTTAATGTGTCGAACTGGTATTTCTAATTCACAAAACATATTATTAAATAGGTAATATCACATAAGTTCAGAAATATATTCTCTAACCTTTGAAATTAAGTAAGAGTCTCTTTTTTCCATGGACTACCATTTGTTTAGGACTGCTTCCTGTGGTCAATTTCTGCAACATCCATTTCTTATCAAATGGTTCCTGGTACACTGAAACTGACAGTGTGAGCCTGTGAGATGTGTCATCAGGTTCTAAAGCCAAGTCATAATGCATGGTAGGCGGTAGACCGTGTCTGCAGCTGATGCAGTCTTCAAAGGATTAAAGAATATTGTTTCTCTGCAAAATGCTAGCTTATTAAGCAATATTTTTATGAAAATGCAATTGAAATTTTCGGCATCTACTATCTATACAAATGCCATTTATTACACACCTGTCCTTTCTAAATGCACTGTTGGTCTGTCTTAGAAGTAGTTATCCATAAGGGAAACAACTGAAATAGCTTTATAAACGTATTAAAACATGTTTGAAAAGAAAGTTGTCTGTCACAATTATTTGTTAAATAAAAAGAGAGATGATGATGGTACATGGTGAATATAATTCAGAAACTTGACCTCTACAGGTACAGGACGCACTCCAAAGTCTATTTTAGAGACTCCAAAACGAGTCTGCGCAATCACAAAAACTACCGCGAGTACCCGTAATGAAAGATACCGGTGTCACGTGACGTAAAACCAGAACCAATAATCTTCGAGTGTAGGCGGGGCCAGCGGCGAATAACGGAACAGGGAATCTGCTGTTGGGTCTGTCTCTGTAACAGTTAACAGATCTACGCGTTTATCATTATGTGACAAGTGAACTGGGACATATGGTGAGTATTATGGTGAGGCGTTCACGGACTGGACCATTTATTTTTCATGAATTCTTGAAATACGAAAGATATGTTTAATAAAACACCATCGCATAGCATAATGCTACTATGCTACAAAAGCTAACGAGAGTTGTTGCTGGGCGAGATGCGCAATGATGAATGAAAAAAAAAATCATTTAAATATGAATACAGCTAATGTCAGCGAGGCGGGTTGTCACGCATTGTTTTAATAAAAATGTTTTGAATTGTAGGCCACGTCTATGGTATAAAGTGGGCGTCACTGATGCTACCTGAATGTCTGTTTTTCCGCAGACAGTGACATGTCTCTGGCTCAGAGGGTTTTACTGACCTGGGTTTTTACCCTGGTCTTCCTCATTATGTTGGTACTCAAACTGGACGGGAAGGTATGATATTTTTTGTCACATTTAATGTATTTTTTCTGGCTACACAGACAGACCTAATCGCTGTCAATTCACCGAACCGCAGGTGACTTCGACTGCACTCGTCGACCGGAAGTTGTCAAAATGCATCCCAACAAATTTACAAGGACTGTTATGATTAAAAGTTTTCTCTGAAATGCAGCCAGTAAATGCATCGTGTCACCATGCTAAACAGGCTACAACAGGAGGGTCCTATGCAGATTTAAAAATTCTTTGATGTAAAGATTAAATTGTCCTTAAGTACAAGTAAAATTACCAGGCTAAAAAACTAGTCAAGTAAAAAGTAGATCATTTAAAATTTAGAGTAAAAATTACTTGGTTACTTTGCGTAGTGAAAAGACAAGAAGAAATAAATCCATCTATAATAATTTAAAATAATAATAATTTATGAGGTATGTGTAATTTTAGTACAGAGAGCACAAAAACTGAACAACTGAGGCACAAATGTGGATTCTGTAGACCAATAAACACCAACAGTAATACTCTGATCTATAAATTGTCCACTGATAAGCTAACTTTGTGGTGTTTTTAAGACCAACTATGTTTGAATGCATAATCCAACTGAAAAAAAAGGAAATTTAACTCTATTTTTCAAACCTTCTGTTTTCCCAGGTTCAGTGGAACTGGTTCCTCATCTTCCTCCCCGTCTGGGTGTTCGATGGTATCCTCATCCTCATGCTGGCTATTAAGATGGCCGGACGCTGCAAACCAGGCTACGACCCACGGAATGGCTCTCCAGACCTGCGTCTGAGGGCGTGGTACCTGACGGCCATGCTGCTCAAACTGGGCTTCTGCCTGACTCTGTGTGCCAAGCTGGAGAAACTGGCCGACGTGAAGCTGTCATTTGTGTGTATCCCACTTTGGACCATGCTGTTGGGAGCCCTGGTGGAGCTGGGCCTCAATATCTTTCCTGAAAGAAGAGAGGCCTGAGGGAAGCAAGAGGGACAAAACAACTGTATGACCGTGACTTTGTGAAAGAATAGGCTGTGATTTGATTGAAAGAGGACTGAGGTGCAACAATCATGAATCATGGACTGTAAAAAAATCAAAGTAATAGATCTCACGTCTCACTGACGTAAGCTGTGAAGGTTAGAGGCAGAGGTTGGAGTCTGTCACTTGTGGTCTGTATGAAGATGACAGGAATATTTATTTATATTTGAGTGTACTGGTACTAGACAGAAATCCAATGTCTTAATATTAAAATCTAGGCCTTAAGACCTAAATTACAAAAATCCAAATGATGGATTAGATTTCAAACTGTGCACTGAAAATAAGAAATGGTTGGTTGTGACAGACATCTCACTCAGTGGACACCTGCTGCTTCATTTGCTTTACATTGTTGCAGCAACTTCTTTTTCTCAAAACTTTTTGAGCTGATCCTGACCCTCCCATCCCAACTTCTTTTATGGGTTTACATAACCACAGGCGTCCTTTACTGCCATCTAGTGGGTTTATTTCCTATAAGAAAGAAATGAGAAGAAGAGTGCAATATCCCTGCACATGAATACACAATTATCTCCTAGTAGCCATTTTAAAAATGAAGAGATTTTGTAATGTAATAGAACTTTTTAGTTGTTGTTTATTTTCAGAAACGACTGCATATTCTGCCGTTAAAACAGCTCAAAATATTTTCAAAAAATGTACATCTAAACAGCTCAAAATATTTTCAAAAAATGTAAATCTAAATATACCAAACTGAAATCAACTGCATTTGGAAAACTACTGTGAAACCATTACTGCAATTAGTTGTGAATTTTATCAAATACTACATTTTATTTCTCACTGTCTTTACGCTCGCACTTCAAATGTCACTGGAAGTATTGTGGTAGGGACTGAGGGTACAAACTGATAATGTGTTTTTTTATATATCTAAATATGTGGGTTTGGTTTGTTATTTTCACACAGGCACTTTTTAGATTTTTATTCCTCAGCCATGGACATTATCTGGCCAAATATTGTTTCAAAAGATTTCTCACATGTGTATTTAAAAAAAAAAAAAAACAGCTTGAAAATTGCTGTTGAAACCATACAGTGTTTGTTTTATCAACTTGTGCTTTGTCTGTATGAAAGGCTTTGTATTGTAACTAGTGTAGTCAGTGAATGTGTATTTTTTTCTTTTTTGCTTTAGACATCTTTGCTGAAGGCTACAGCTGACATTTTGTTTTAGTGCCAAGTGTTTGCTCTGAATGCTCCATGTATTTCCCTTCATTATTTAATTTTTGCAATGTGTTTGCTCTGAATGCTCCATGTATTTACCTTCATTATTTAATTTTTGCAATAAGTTGACAAAGAAATAAAATACTTTAACACTTTGTCCCTTTTTTTAGAGGGCAAAATGTTATATTGTTAAAAGGCAAAAACACTAACCAACAAGTAAATGACAACTAAAAAATGATGTAGTCCACAAGTCTTAATATCATAGTTATAATAAAATCATAGTAATATAGGACGATCCTACTCAAACTGAGAGGTAACCCAAAATAATAGCACTGAAATAGCTAGCATAGCTAGGGAGAAAACTATACTAGCTTAGTAAATTACAGACAGAGGATGACCAGGAAAAACTTGTCAGATAAAAAATAATGTTTGGTCAAAAGTTGTAAAATTAAGACATTGCCAAATAACAAAAATAGTAGTAAGTAAAAGTTATCCAAAAAGGTTAGCATGCTATCTGAAATGATCAGCTAGGCTAACAGGATGTTAGCCAAAACAACTGCCTAAAATAGTTATACTGTGTTAGGACGTAAACAATTAGCTTATATTTCTACTAAATAGCATACATCTAAAAGTAGTAAATAATATAGTACTTGTACTAATACTTACTAGCATTGCATTGTGGGAACATGCCTGTGAAATGTGCCTGGAAAGAGATGAATGAAGAGATGACCTTGCCTTTCAGGGACACTTGGTCACACACTGACTTCTTTGTCCTTGTTTTCACTGTGACTTCTCTGAGAATTCCAATATTCCCATGTCTGTGGATGAGATCATTTATTATAGTTTCCAGTGAACAAAAGAAAAAAAAAAAACAGATAAACAAAACAGTCAATCATAATTAACTGTATAACTCTGAGGAAATGTGACCTCCCTGTACACGTTACCCATATGTAATTATGGGTAAGATAAAGTTCCAGTCCACTAGTAAAATAAGTAAAGTTTGCTAAAGTTAGAAATGAGGGGCCCATGGAAGAGTCCTTTCTTAATTTGCAATCTGGACTTTCATCATGAGATGTCACTAAACTTACACACTTGACTGTTAGTTAATGAAACTGTACTGAGTAGATTGGGAGCCAACGAGGATACAGTATCTCAAGTAGAGAGTCTATTGTGTGCACGACAGTCACACAGAATGAAGATTTTCCAAGTATTCCATCCAAAAAAAGAGAAAAAAATCCCATTCTTTGTTTCTGCTCTGACTTCCTGCCTCAGTCCCACTCCCACCCCTTCAAAGGTCAGCTGAGCTCCTCTGGCATTCGTGCTGTGTGAGTGTGTGAGGGTGAAATCAGGCAAACCGGCTCTTTACTGCTGGACTGGAGAAGACACACACACACATGGTGATGTAGCTGTTCTGTCTCACATCTTCAGAGATCACTGCTGCAGACTGTAGGGAGTGGGCGGTGACAAACCTGCAAAACAGTCACAGCAAAAAAGCAAGGACAGTAAAACAGAAGAAAAGAAAATGGAGAAAGTGTTAGACATCGATGTAACTGCAGGAAAAGAGTAACGACTTTAAGTCCAGCAAACAATCACACAATAATTACTCAAGTAAAATAGTGAATGATTGGCTTTAAAACGGCTGGATTTCTAGTTTTACATTGGTAGTGCTAATCCAATCCTGTTTTGTTACTGCCTCTATGTGGTCTAAATTGCGTACTGCACATTGGCAAAAAATAGAAACAAATATCAAGTGTATAAAAGTAAAATGCTGAAGGGCACACATTCTGCAGAGATTTGTCACCTGGGAAAACCTCTACTTTAAGTAGGACAGTGAAGGGAATTTTATTTTATTTTGAAAGGGAATTATTCTGCATTTTTCAAAATGAAAAAAAACAAAACAATTCTACATATATACAAATACATGTATATATATTTATATACACACACATGTACTATATATATAAATATATATGATTTATGCATATACGTTTGGCTAGAATAAAATAAATGTTTTTAACTATTTCATGAATAAATATATGTTTTACAGCAGGTTTTTTTTTTACATTGAACCTTTTATTAGTGAGGTTCTTATTGAATCCAAGTAGAAACCACACTACAAGTTTTTTTTCCTCTTTACAAAACATCTTATATATACTACAGTGCTGACAATTAGAAATCACAGAAACCCAAAATAGAAAAACAAAATTCCAACTAAAACTTTGAGATAAATAACGAATGTGAAAACAAAAGACAAATTGTTCTCAACCATCATATTTGTCATATTTATACAAAAAAAATATACTGTATATATATTTTTTAATTTAATCATCATGTTCCTATCATCACTTTGTGAAACGTCTGGAATACAGGAGTGTCAAAAAGAGCTGTGGAGGAATTTGTAAATCAAGTGCTAAATCGTTAGCTCAGCTCTTCTCAGGACCACATGGGGAAACGCTCCACCTCGGAAGTGACAACATTCAGAGGAGAAGTGACTGTTTTAGTGACAATTTAAGGCTTAATTGTTGATTCCCAGTGAGAATTTGAACCTCAGACTTAGGGAGGGGAGGAAACTGGGGGAGGGAGGGAGGAGGTTTCTCTATGGCTCTGCGCCATTTCAGCAGTTCACAGTTAAGGACAGGCACTGGAGAAATGCTGCAGGCTACATGAGCAAGTGGGTTACATTCCAACATCCGTGAAGTCAATCCAAGACAAATCCAATGACTTAAAAAAAAAACAAACAAACAACACAATCATTTTTTTCATAATTTCATTCTCAGTGAAATAGAAGAGTTTGATTGGAAAATAAATCTTCATAGTTCAAACAGAACATCAATAATAATTTACTATAAATTTTAAAGACAAGTAACTTCAGTCCCTGGTTAATAAATAATAGATTTTTACAGACAGGAGGCTCTACACTGCAGAGAAATTGGACGTCAGTTTGATACATACAGTGAATAGTGTTGGACAGTCAACCATATGATTATAAGAAATAAACTCTATCTTTTTCAAAAGCCAAGAATGCATTCTATATTTAAAATTTTAAAATCCTTTTTAATATATTTTTAAAATCCAAACAGCTGTGTTCAAATCATAGCTGTAAAAAGTGCTAGAAAGGGTTTTTAAACACGTTAGTGACGGGTTTGTTTTGTTTTTTAAGTTTCCTGCTGTGGATGAAACTGTAGTGACAGTAGATTCTAACATAATATTTCAGAGTGAATATCACTACAATGATCCAGTTTGAAATCAAATCAAATCCATAATTTTTCCTGAGACTCTAACTCTGCTGCCCCAACAGGTAGATGTGGATGGAAATCCGTCTCAGCTCGAAGCAGAGGAGTGTTGAGTGAGCATCTACAAACTGGATCCTTTAAAAGTCAGTTAGTTTTTCTGGGGCACGATTATAGACCACCCTGGTTTTGGAAGCAAAACCTCAAAACAAGAGCATTGGTTTTCAATATTAAAACTTTTCATTTGTTCTTTAAATTTTGTCCTACCATGGTGTGTTCACACTTGCAGTTTGTCTGTTTCAGGTACAACCAAGACAAACAATTCCTGCCAGTATTTCACCATTGTGTTCAACTAAACAAGCCCAAGTGTCACAGTGAAGTAAATACTTTTGTGACATTTTGGTTAAACGGTTCTCCGTGCAAAGTTTCTAAAACGTAAAAGATATGCTGTGGTTCAAAATATCTGTGGTTCAGATCTGCTTTCTGGTCTAATAGCTGCTCTTTACTTGGGTTTGTCACTGCATATAATCTACAGGCATGATTTGGCACCATTTTGAATAAAAATAGCCTTCACTTTAAGCACAATCTGATTTTTTTTCTTCAATCAGACTCCAGCCACTTTTATCTCTCTCTGACCAATGACAAAATGATCTAATTGTTTGGGACGGAGGTTGTAGTTTTACAATAAATAAGGACTAGAACGTAGGCCAGAGCCTGAAATCGACTATCCGACCATATAGTTGGGACACTGTCCTGAAGCCAACTCTCAATGTTCCAGGTAAACCAAACAACACAAGACAAGTGTGAACACAGACCTGTTGGACTACGCATACTCTGGATAACACAACGATATGTTTTGTGGTACCTGATGACCTTCACTGTCCTATTTAAGCCAACATGACTCAAAATGACTGAGATCAACGACTAAGGAATTCACAGAAGATTCTGACAGTTCTCACTGTAACGACATCTGGGAACTCAACTTCAAAACTGAGCAGATTATTGCTGAGTATCATTCCTAAAAACACAGTATTAGGGCAAATAACTGCAACAAACTCCGATGCTGAAATATTGTGTAAGAAATGTTAAGTTATAACAATTGTTCATATATAAATTAGTGTTCACTGTGTGACCCATCGTTACTCCAGGAAGAGTCTTACAAAGAACGTAAATCAAAATAACAATAAAGGACACATATGGAAGCTTTAGCTGCAAAGGTCCACAGAAGACAAGTCCTCACAACTGTGACCTTTTTTTTTTTTCATATAAATATCTGACAGTAAAGTCTTTTTCTTCTCACCTCTGAGCACGCAGACCTTCAGGTGTCCGAGAGCACGAAGTTCACTCTAACAGAAACAGAACCACACAGCAGTTTCACCCCGAAAAAAGACTCTTCTTTCAGAGTTGGACTTTAAATGTAACCATACCTTACTATAGGCCAGTATTATACTGACACATGCAACAACTCCTTAAAATAAAAAACAAGTGATCATAGACCTGAGGCTGGGCTGAATGAAGTCCATCTCTTCTCCACCAAATACTGTGTCTCTGTTGATACATAGGACACAAAAAGTCCACACGGAGTTAAAATGCCAGGAATATTTCAATGTAAAACAATGGAATAAGAGGTTTGTTTTCAACACGTTATCTGATTTAATGAGACCTATAATCTGTACTCCCTGTCAGAAAAAAATATAACAATGTGGTTTAATGAAGGAAAACTTTAAAACTGGGCGATGGCATCGATCAGGATATAAAGAAAATCTTAATCAAACCAATGAAAATTAACAGAATAATATCCAGCTGTTGTAGTGAAACTTTTCTTGCCATTTACTGCAAGTGAGAAATATCAGAAGAGATTATAAAGCGTCAAATGGATCATTTTGAAAATATTTGCTCTGTGGGGAGTAACAAAGAATTTTTGGCAAGGTCTACGAAATGCCATTAATGATGAACTGGAGGCTTTCCCTTTAAAGATTAATTTAAAGTGAACTGGAAAAGGTTTTCCATTAATTTTGGCACAAAACCTCAACATCATTGTCGAGAAGCAGCACAGTTTGTCCTTCACAATTTGAAAGATTGTGTAGTTTTGTAATTAACATGACTTAAAGCTGGACCTAAAATGTTTTTTAAATATTGTTTTTTAAATAAAATTTGCAGATAAAAGGTCAAAAATATATTTTTTATGTTATTATTTTCCATTGAAAATCCTTGCATCCTCAGTGGTGTGCAAACATTTTCTGCCCACTGTCATCTCTGTATTCTTCCTGTTATTTTCTTTTTTTCCCACTTGTTTTACATCAACACAACCGAAATAACACATTTTAGTTGAAAACAGCATTATGTACAAAAATAAGATCAAATCTGTCACCGATTCTCCTCATGCCTTTGAGAGAAGCCAGAGGGAGAAGGCTGAGGAGGGGGAGGAGGCGGTGGAATAGGGGGAGAGTGTGGAGGAGGAGGTGGAGGCAGAGATTGTGAAGATGTTGGAGGAGGGGGAGGCGGTGGAAAAGATGGCGACATAGAGTGCTGAACCTGCCCTGGTGTGGAGGTCTGGTACTGCGATGGATGTAGTGGGTACGGGCTGGAGAGTTGGGGGTTTAGGAAGGACTGAGGTGGGAGGAAGGGGTGGGAGGTGAAGTGAGGAGGCTCAGGAGGGTAGTAAGGTTTGGAAAACTGGTGTTGGTGATGATGATGGAGGAGGTGAGATGGGAAGCTCTGAGAGCTGGAGAGAGAGGAGCCAATAGGAGGCTGGTAATAAGGCTGAGACTGTGTGGTGATGCCAGGCTGGTGAGGAGGAGGAGGAGGAGGAAGGTGAAGCTGAGTCACATGACTCGAATGAACTCCCTGGTTTTGCATCAGGAAGGAGTTGAGTGTCTGTGGCTGCGAAGAGGTGAAGGACGGGTTGGACAAGGGATTAGAAGGGAGCATGGGAGGATGGTGGGAGTGTGGGGGGAGATTGGAGAAGGATGGCATTGGAGGAAGTGGGAGGTGCTGTGAAGGAGAGTATTGCTGCGTGTAAATCCCAGGCCTCCCTGCATCCTGTGGTACACGGATCTGTGAGTCCATGGAGATCCTGCAGTCCGTACCAGTACCATAATTCCGTTTTTCCTGGAAAGGTAGTGTTCTCGTGTCCGCTGACCTTTGATCCCCCACAGCAGCCACTGTGTGTGTCCTTGTGTCTGAGTGTGAGGCGTGTGTCCGTACGTCCACAGGAGGTGCCATAACCTCCGTGTGAACCTGTGTTTTTAAGTCTGCGTGAACGTCTTCAGACTGAAGATGCAGTGAGTCCGTCTTCGTTGGTTTGTCCAACTGATAGGAAGGAGACAGATGAGAAGACGAGAAGGCAGTGAAAGGAGGAGACGTGACTGGTCTAGACTTTGGACTAGTCGTGGAAGACGATGATGAAACTGACGAGGAAGTTAATCGAACAGATGTGGACGGTGGAGAAGAAACAGAGAGCGTGGATGAAGCTGTTGGTGCAACGGAGGAGGGAAGTTTTGCGGAGGACGAACTTGGTGATTTGCGATCTGAATGAAACAAAGATGAGGACAATGAGGAGGAGGAAGAGAAGAGTGTTCGAGAAGTTGTTTTTCTGCTCTCTGAGTGGTGGTGATGATGATGGAGCTTTAAAGATGCTTTGGGTTTTGTGTCCTGGTGTTGGGAAACAGGAGGTGTCCGTGAAAGAAGTGTTGATTTGGTTTTAGAGGCAGGAGGAGGAGGAGGAGGAGATGAAAGTTGTGTTTTTGTCTTTGCAGGAGGTGACCCCTGCTGTTTTTGGATTCCTCCTTTTACTCCGCCACATTTGTCCTCCTCTTTCTCTTTCTTAGCTGTGCTTTTCACCTTTAAGTCCACTGAGAGCACAGGCTGAGGCACCAGAGGTGGATGCAGAGGTTGAGGAGTAACAGGATCTTGTTCCACCTTTTTGACATCTGAAAACATTCCATTTTCTGCCAGATCCATCTCTTCCTCCTCTGCTTTTACTCTCACCACTTCTTTCTTGACCTTCCTGTCTCTCCTCACTTCTTCCTTCTGTACTACATCTATCATCTCTATCTCTGTGTCTTCTTCCTCCTTCATTTCTACAATCATCTCCTTTTGATTCTGCTTCTCTTCTTCTTCTTCTTCCTCTTCCTCTTTTTGTCCTTCTTTTTGTCCGTCTTCTTGGAGGTACTGCTTCAACCTGACGTGCCAGGCCAGGCTGCAGACAGCAGACACCGTCTTGAACTGGTGGACCACGTTGCGGGGGATGAAGTAGATGTCGTCATGGCACAGGCGAATGCGAGCGTAACGGATGCCTTCACGACGCATTAGGTTCAGTTTGGCATCGTCTACCCACTGCACACACTAAGAGAAATGAAGGCAATACATTGAACAATACAACAGAAATGTATGTAGAATTTAGCAAAAGGCATCGGCTCTAGTGCCTAATTCAAATGTTTTAAATGTATGATAGCGTCAGGTCGTTGAGGTTTGGGAATGTTCAGTGTAAATTTAGCTTATGGAAATTACTGGTAATGCAATTACATTAAAAAATGAATTTACAATCATATTTCCCCACCGTTTTCTTTTTTACAAATTGAAAATACATTTTCTGCCTCTTCTCTGACCATTTTGTTTATTAAGAAACAAAACCTGACTGATGATCAATGTTGTGCTTCATATTTGGAGGATTTCTGCCGGCTTATTTGTGAGGAGTGAGTGTGAATTAGAGCATTTGGATTTCAATGCCATAAAAACAAATCTTCAGCATCATAGACAGAGGAAGACTTACTGTCTGCAATAAATTTATATCCCACCAGATGGCAGCCTCCAACACCATTTACCATCACACTATTGTACACCCTGAATTAGTGTTGGATGTGATGTGTTACGTCACCATGTGGGGTGATTCAGTGTCTAAATTGGTAAAAGGATGACTGGGAGGTGTGTGTGTGTGTGTGTTTATGTAATGCAGCACCTGAGACAGCGGGGGTTCATACAAGTCCAACTGCAGCCTCTGAACGACATAATTGAAATCCCCCGCATGAAAACACACAACGTCTTTGGTTACACGAGCAGGTTTAGAGCTGAAGGCGAGACACAGGGAGCAAACAGTCATGTGGATGTGTACACAACACTCACGGTGCTTTGACAACGGCATATGATCACGTGCTGCTCGACTGCCTACCCGTCTCCACACACGGCCTTCAGCACCCCAACAGCAGCCGTGGTCGTACGCTCAAAGCCCTGGCCGATGTGATCTGCGTGGGCACGTGTCCGGTCCTCAAACATCATCTCCCGGGGCTCACTGGTCCTGGGCAGAGACTGCATCAGGTTCTTCACCTCGTTGGTGGAGCTGCAGGAGGACAGATAAGATCACTCCATCAGGGGGAGAGAGTGGAAGAAATTTACTGCTCAGCAGCTCATTCAGCAGCAGGAGAGAGTTGTCACTGAGCTGCTCCCTTTTTATTTACGTCCGCAGTCTCCTGACGGTGGTGCCTTTTACAGCAGCACATCTTTCTCGACTGGTGTGTTACAGCCAACCACAATATATAACACCACGAGCAGAGGGTGAACAAAGAGACTGCAGATGAACCTGGACGAGTGAGGACACTGTAAAAACACACTGCGGTACATTTACACACAATGTATATCACTGCACAGCTGCATTAAGTTAGTGGTGCATTAACTCATTTATTTGACCATATACTAATACGTAATTTAAATATAGACTGAATGGTTTGGTATTGAAATTCTTAAATTTTAATTTGAAGATTTTTGATTAGTATTTACCTGAGCAAACAACAAAGGAAGCAGAAGCGACCTACTAGTAATTCTTCAATGTAAATATATATATATATATATATATATATACACGCATACAAACATATAAGCACACAATATATAAAAATACATAAAAATATACATGTTTAAATATTCATATTCAAAACATATATGTATGCATTTGTGAAAAACAAACTGAAATAATGACAAATGTAAAATAAATAATCCCAAATTAGTAACCAATTAAAAATGGATAATATCTTTTCTAAGAAGAGGGTTTTCAAAAAAAGTTTATCATAAAAGCGTTGTTTGAAATGGTGATGATTTCTAATGCGTGTCGAAAATTAAAATTAAACTTAAACGCAGAGACGACGACAATCTTGGCTTCCTGTTTGCGCACACTGTGAAGCTAATGGATAAAAGCATAGCAAAACAAAAACCCCAACCATGTCGCCAAACAAATGGAAGCACTGCAGTCGGCTCAGTGCTGGATGAGTGAGTCACTCTGGAGCTACAGTCGGATCCAAACAAGAGGAAAAACACATGAACAGTCTGCGAGAGATTCTTCTACAAGAGTGAAACGCACACACACACATTCAGACGCAGATACAGACACAGCAGGAGTGTGACTGACTGAGCTGAACACTGGGTTGTGCATTCATTCATTCAGAGATAAGAGATGAGAGACAGGAGGAAGAAACAGCGGAAAGAAAGTCTGCTGCTGCCGGTGGTGGAGTGGGGGTTAAAATCTGTGTGCACACACACACACACTCCCTCACCAACACACACAGAGCTCTGGGCTTGTGCGTCTGAGCTGACTGCAGGATGACAGTAATGAATGTAAAACAAAAAAAAAATCAGTAGAATAAAGGAAGCTGTTGGGAAAAGCAGTGCTGAACCTGCACATCTACAGCAGTTTCTTTTCAACTTCAGCTTTTACTGCGACTCATCAACTGTGAGGTGCTTTTGTTCTGTCTCAGTGTGTGTGCGTGAGCAGAGGTAACAGTCACAGATTCATGCACATTTATGATGAGATAAACTGGGAGGAGGGGGAGGAACAGATAGCAGCGGTATGTAGAAAATACGATGGAGGAGAACGGTGAGAGGGGGATGTAAGGAGGAGTAGAGCAGACAGACGTACAGCAGGGAGGAGAAACACCTCCTAATATTTATGCTACAGAGAGAGAACATTCGTCCCTTTTTACACGTATGTTTAAATAATCATCTGACGGCTGCTGTGATTATTTTTAAATTAGGAATTGTTTGTGTTTTTAGACCAACTTTAACTAAAATGTGTATTAAACACAAACATACAAATGACAAAGCAACAAGTGAATGTACTGTATGAATAAACATGACCTCATAAGCTCAGGCTCAAGGTTATGGGATATCAACGTGTAATACTACCGTATTTTCCGGATTATAAGTCATACTTTTCTTCATTCTTTGGCTGATCGGACTATAAGTCGTACTTTTTTTCATTCTTTGGCTGGGTTGCGACTTATACTGAAGTGCAACTTATATATTAAAATATATAATTTCACGTTTGTTATTGTCACACTGACAGCCACTAGAGGGCACTGGTACAACTAATATGTGTTTTTTTTCTCTTCTATTTCTTCATTATGGCTTTTTTTGCCTGGTGAGAGTTATCGTCTGGAAAATACATGCTAGTACTATTACTATTATTATTTACTAAATAGGAATAACTAGAACAACACAAGGAATAATAACCACCACCATCATCATCAACATCAACAGAGGCAGGGAGAGTGCAGCAATGACTTACAGTCCTAGGAAAAAATGGCAACATTACAGCACAACACCTTCAACCAAATCCAAATACCACTAATTGAAACGCAGCAAAGTAATTCCAGCTGACACCTACAGCCGCCTTAACTTACTTTATGACAGTCATAGAGCTAACTCACTAACCGTAGAACAATTAGGCGACACCCCAGCACAGTCTACTGTGCAGAAGTGATGATGCCATTGGCTACAGCACAGACCCAGAGTCACGATCAACATAATTCAGTGAGAAGCGTGGGAATATATTTTTAGTCCCGTCTTGGGAGCAGATGGAACTTAAACTAGAATATTATTATATTTCATTATATATACTTTTTGTGAGATCTTTGTTTGGTGCCGTGGGGTTTTGTCTGATGATGTATGTGTGCTGTGGTTAAAAAGGGTTGGGAAACACTGTTTTAAAATGCTGCAGTTGGGTGACAGCGCTCTGGACAGGTATCATTCCAGAGTTCTGGATTTTTTTTTTCAAAACAGAACTGCTGCGTATTGATTTCCTCTCTGGAAACTTTTAAAGCAGGAAGAGCTTGTTCTGTATCAGGCCTCCATCCTGTTCCCAGGCCAAGGCTGCTGCTCTCACTGTGCAATTATTGTCAGTTTCCAGAAAAGCAACGCTTGGGCAATAAAAACTGAAATATTTTTGGTTTATTCTCATCGTCCGGCCACTATAATCACAGCTGAATTCTCAGACTCTGAGACTCTCGGTGCAACCTTTTGACAAAAACTGGCAGTAAAATGTTTGCCACAGTAAAACAGTCAAACTGCAGACAAGATCGTTGAAACTGGGAAAGACTCATGTCTTCCTCCCTCCTTTTCTGTCTCTATTTGTTTGTTTCCTTTGCTGTGCACACACAAACACAAATAAAAACTACTCATGCCACTTTGACATATTTATATCCCAAACTTATTTCTGTTCCTTCAGACAGAAACAGCACTTAAATAAACCCACCTCACAGAGAGAAGAGAGGTCACAGAGAGGAAACACGTGACAGGCAGGCTGACGGTGTAGATTTTTTTAAGAGGTATCATGAGGAAAGAGACAGAGAAAACAATCAAAATTGGAAAAAGCGGAGGTGGGGGGAAAAAGGGAAAGATTTATGAGAAGAATCAAAGTGACAGGCTGAGTGGAGATAAAAGGGAGGAAATGGTGACAGAAGTTCACCTCGGCGTCTGAATGTCAAATTATAACAAAAGTGATGAGATGAGAGGGGACGTTAAAAGGAAGACGAGAGCATCACAACAGAATCACAGATAAAACGGCTTCTTTCAGCTCCGGCTGTTACACAAGTGTTTCTGACATTAAGCCACACAGACGTGCACACACACACACACTGTGCTGCTTTGCTTCATTTTACCCAATTTTTCAAGACCTTCCCCTGAAATGATAGCTGACCAATCACAGCACAAACGTTTACCAACAACAACTAAGTTAGAAACTTTCTTAGTCTTTGTATTTATTTTCTATATTTTTAGGAACATCATGGCAAAGAGAGAGAGAGAGAGAGAGAGAGGCCAAAAAAGCACTCAGATATCTCTATCGCCGCCTTTCTATAAGTACGACTATTGTCAAGCCCCCATCAGGTCAGGATATTGAAAAAAAGAAATAAAATTACAATTCTTGTTTCACCCAATGTTGCCATTGCTTTGCAATATACTGCTTGTAATGCTAACTGCTAAGTCTCTTTTCAGGAAATAGACAATAAAAAACATATTTCCATCCATGCATGTTAGAATTAGGTCGTTCAATCAGCACAAAAACAAAAAGTGAAGTAAATGAGTGGGGAAAATGTTAGTGTTGTGTCAGACGTTTGGCTGGCTGCCATGTGAAGCAGCGTCTGATGTGGACTGTGTATTAAAACAGCGATGATCTCATCTCATCCAGGCAAAGCAACACAGGCAGCTTGTGCACACACACACACACACACACACACACACTCACATCACTCCTATCATTGTCTGACACTCTGTGTATACAACAATGACACAGCGACAGAGATGGAGACACTGTCTCACCCAGCTGCCGGTCGACATTAGTGAAGGGGAGGGCTTCAGATGCAGCAGTGCGTTTGGTTACTTTTGGTTTTTATAAATTTAAGACTCTGTGCCATAGAACTGTTTACAGAAAACTCAAAACACTGGCCTTATTTTAACCAAGTGTGTTTACACTGCGTGGAGTTAATTGTAGCCTACTCACCGCCTTCGTTTAAAAGGAGACTTTGGTATATCAGCCACAGGTATCATCTGTTCTCCCGGTCTGACCCACATTATGGGCCCGTCGTCACTCTCCGTTGGACTCATGTGACTCAGACTGGAGAGCGTTCCCCACGGAAGTGTCCTCTGAAGTCGCCGGGTACAGAAAGAAAAGAGGAGAGGAGGGGGTTTAACCAAAGCCATGTGTAAACTGTCAGCTGATTTTAATATTGCCTATTTATTCCAGAACGAACACAAATCACAGCCGAACCTCTTCACCACAGGAAGGACGGGAAGAGTGAGGTGATGAGTTGTTTTTGTAATATTCAGAAAACAACAAGATTCCTTCACACAGGCGTGTCAGGGATTTTCTGAGCACCACGGAAAAACACAGTTGTCGGGGCTTCACAGGGTGTTTAAAAGACTCTTCAAGGACACATGCTTTAAATATTTTGTGAAAATGAATTTGAAGCTGTATCAAAACCTCTGCCACAGCACTCACAGCTTCCTCTCTGCCTGGCAGCACTGAGAATATTAGGTGTGGTGATGTTCTGCCATCTGTTGGGTTTTGTTTTTTTGGTTGTTGTTTTTTCAGCCAAGAGGCAGAGATATGTTTTTATAGTGTGGGCATCAGACCATAAGTGACCAAAATCTGGCTCAGTGGCTAATTTTGACACTTGGATCTATGATGTTTTCAGCCCTTTAAAATATGTTTTTGACCTTTCTTTTCTTTTGGGGATTTTTTTTTTTTACAATATTTTCTGGCTAATGGCCACACTAACTTAGTTACTATCTAAATTTCATATTTTTTGCTAGCGTCTAGCAAATCAATTTTTTTACATACAACTATTCTTTGTAATTTCTGCCATAACCTTTATTAACTATTTATTGGTTTAATATATGTTTCAGGTTACCCTTAGGTTAAAATATGAGTTAACATTGCAGTTTCTGTATACGTTTGTTTCACTAGCAAAGCTATCAGAAAAAACAACAGCAAAACAAAGTCTTAATTTAACATTTAAATATATAAAATACCTGCCTTAAAAGTCAAATCAAAGTGTTATTAATTCAAACAAATGTTAAAGTGAACCTTTTGTACATTTTGTCTAAATCAGGGACGAAGACAAAAGGAATAAAGACAGATAAAATACCCCAAGCCAATCTAATGCAAATGAACCATCTCTGTATTCACAGTGTAAAACTGTGCAAGCATCTTAAAAAGAGTAATTTTTCCAGTGATGATTCTTCCACACAAAGGAACATATTCTCCCATTACCATTAAAATTGCAGGCGTAACATTTTTTAAGGTCATTTGCACATAAACCACCTGCCTCAAACACTCATCGTGAACCACTTTCTGTGTAAATTCTCTGCTGATGGCTGCTTTTAATACAGAATGTGTTTCTATCTGTTCTAGGAAATAAATTCAGGGTTTTACAAAAAGTAGAGGGAAAAAAAAATCATTTCAGCTGTCAGCGCTTCCATTATGCTTCTTTGTGCCGTGCAGCTTTTTCATATTTCTGTCATTCATCCCGTCCTGACTCACCTTCAGGAAGGGTGACTCCTCAAGCATGCCCAAGAATTCTGGGAAGTAGCTGCCCACCTCCTCGTCCACAGCTCCCACCAGGCTGATCTGCCTCATGGCTCCGGCTCGATATGTGCCGTGACTGTACGTCTTCTTCACCTTTAAGAACCAAAACGGGAAAATGTTTTAATGTAGAAATAAAATCACCTTTCAAACAAACTATAGCTGCTAAAAATGTTTCTTTATTAATTTAAAAAATACTTTTATAGTTTATGTTATTTTAAATAGTAGACGAGACCACATAATTTAGGGTCTAAAAATTCAGCAAACACTGTATAGGTATTTGGTGTAGTTTTATTTTTTAATTACACAAGAGACCCCCCAAAGTGGTCCTACATTTTTTTGGTTGTTAACACCATTTGACAGGCTGTCATGAGCAGAGGATTTTCATGTTGTAATAAATGAATTTATCAAACTCGATACACTCTTTTCAAAAGAACACAAAAAGAGTTCTGTCCCAAGGAATGATTTTTAAACAGCAGCTATTTAAGCCTGTTTACAATGGAACAGTCCTGGTTCCCAAACCAAACACTGAAGCAGGTGAGACCTTAACAGTAAAAGAAAAAAAAAGAAAAAAATTTCAGAGACTCACAAATACTTACTCATATTTTTGTTCTGCAAACTTTTATGTTAACAGTAAATACTTCAAAATAAGATGTAGAGAAAAAAAAAACAGGCTGGTTTTACTGAAACACCGATGTTCTATAAAAACCTAGAGAGTGATCTGTGGAGACAACTTCTTCTCTTCAAGTGCTTTGAGACGATCCCTGACTTTTATTTATCTTTGACGCCCGCCAGGAGAGACTATAATAATCTTTTCTTATAACGGCTGCATATTTTTAAACCTGTAATTTAAGGACGTATAATAAAATCTGCTTTGGCAGCAGGATGATATAAAATGCCAGGTAGCACCGAGGTTCCTAAATATACATCGAGTTGATTAGCAGAGCCAGTCTCCATCAGTGGGCCTCTGAGTAAAGTGTTTTTATTAATAACTGAGGATGTTTGGAATTCTGTATACAAAGACAGGACGGACAAAAATCATCACCAGGCATCAAAACAGACAGTGTGTGTGTGTGTGTGTGTTGGCAGTTTCACTAGATCTCTGCTCCTCTGGCGTGACTCAACAGCCTGTTTGGTGCTCTTTACTTGGCTGACTGAACGTGTGTGTGTGTTTAAGTGTGTGTGTCCAAACCGTCTACCATACCCCAGGCCCTCAAAAGTGTCTTTGTGGCAGCATGTGGTCAAGGATGTTGCCTGTGTGTGTGTGTGTGTTAGTTTCAGCCATATCCTTGGCTGCAGCCTCCAGTGAGTCATCTTGACAACAAGTTGGACGTAAAGAAAAGATGGGGAAGAAGAAGAGAGAATATATTGTAATTGGGAGACAGATGGAGAGGAGTGGAGAAAAGTTTATTAACACAAGCTGTAAAAGAAGGAGAAACAAATGTGGAAAATAAAGGGTGGAAAAAAGTGAAAGGGACTAAATAGGCCGGAGTGTTAACAGCAGTTTTTTTAAGGTTAACAGATGGTAAAGATATCAAAAGACAAATAGAGGGTGAGAAGAGAGGGAGGTTACAGGACAGCGGGAAGGAAGGGAGGAAGTATGAAGACAGAAACTGGAGTTTGATTTGATGGATCGAGTCGAAAAAAGGACTTGGAACACTGCTCACCTCCTTGAGCAAGGCAGTAAATCGTCAAAGCTAGCCAGCTCTCAGATGTGTGTTTGGACATGTGTGTGAGAATCAGCCGTTTCCCAGTGAGTGAAAATGACATACGAAGTGGGTTTTTTTTTTCAATCCAGATGTGTGGTTCTGGTGGAACTGGCTGGCTAATTAGTAGCGATTGGCCATAAAAGGCTGAGTTATCTGGGTCAACAACAGGGAAATGTTGAGATGAGAGAGAGAGAGAACTCTTCAAAAGACTGGATTAATAATGATAAATGATGAAAAAATGTCAGCATTGATGCCAAAGAATAAGAACACAGATTTGTGTGTTTTGGAAGAATCCAGTCAATCGTGAATAATTATTTTCTAAATAAAAGGGAAAGGAAGTCACATGAATTTAGATCATCATTTTGCCATATGCACTGGGCCATTGGTATAGGAGTATACGTGCAGAAATTAAACAGAACATAATTTACATCTAAACAGGATGCAGAAGTTTCCAGTGGGCTGCAATGTACATTAGGTTGTAGGGTCAAAAATCCATGCTGTTAACTAACATTCAAAACCATCTCAATGATTCAATATCAACAGGGTTTAACAAAAGCCCTAAAATGTATATATAAGTACAAAGGCTTTCAACACAAACATTTCTCAATGATTCAATATCAACAGGGTTTAATAAAAGCCCTAAAATGTATATACAACTACAAAGGCTTTCAACACAACAAATTGAAACCCACACTCTGACATGTGTAGAATCCATTTTAGGGACTTAGACCTTTTATACTGGTCTGACAGGGGGTTCACATAGAAAACTGCAACGTGAACGACCATGCAAATAAAAGAAGAAAAAAGTTATCGGATCTTAGAAAACAGCCGAATTTAGCAAAAAGACATATAGTCTGGTTGTGGTTATTTTAAAAATATTAGGATTACTACACTAGACACTCAGATTAAAAGTACCATGCGCTACCGACTGAGCTTTCCAGGCCCCAAGCTAGCCACATGGAACTGCTTTCTTTGTGCTGCTTCACTATACTGTAATATCTTTTCCCCTCCCTGCTAAAATTACAGTACAATGTGTTTGCCGAGGTCACGGTCCCTTCCTGTCCAAACACAGAGCTGGCTGCAGTTGATATAATCCTCATGCTCCTACTCTGTATCTCTGCTTTAAAGTGGCCCGGACTCTGTTGGACACACCGTGGTGTGTGGTGATAAATATAAACAAAAATAAATCACATTATCTCCACTGCATCTGTGCCGACACTGAAAGATGAGGAAGAGTGGATGCGTGAAACTGGAGCGCAACTTCAAACAGTCTGCTTGAATCAATAACCTGGATACAAAGTGTATTGTGTGCAAACAAATGCTCTGATGTTTACAAGTTTTCTGTCTGGTTGGTTTTTTTTTTCTCTTCTCCACTAAGACTGAGAAAGTCGAGTCTGTATACGTTCTGCTCCGTGCATAATCACCAACGTTTGTGTATTGTCTGTTTGTGTGAGATTCAGGTGCATCATTTAAATGCAAAGTAACCCCCACAGAGTTTACAAAGCGAACATCCTTCCAGGAAGACTAGGAGAATAAACAAACGCCACTGCTGCTGCTTCAAATAAACAGATTAATTAAACTGTCAGTGATTCTTTCTTTCTATGTATCGTTCCGACTCTCGCTCTCTCCGAAGAGCAAACAAAAAGAAATGCAAAACATTGACAAAGGTCCTCTGAGCTTTACTGTTAAAGATCTTCCAGTATTTCGTCAACACCAACTTTAGGTCCAGCTACAGTCACTGCTCCTTGGACCGTTTATTTGGACGACTGTCCTTGTCCCACTTTACAAGGGCCGTGAGGGAATTGATTTATTTGCAGAGATACATCTAAGTCTCCCAAGATGAATGTTGACTCTCTCTCTTCCTTTAGCCTCTATACGTTTCTGCTTGGTCCATTAGGTTTTTAGCAAGTAAGCCACTGGCAAGTGCTGAATATACAGTACTTTCTTGTCAGTCTATCTATCACAGTCTATTCTGTACATCTACAACAGGGGTGTCAAACCCATTCTGGTTCACATACAACCTAATCAACTGCACCGGACTAGTACAATAACATAAATAACAATAACTCCATGTTTTTCCTCTGTTTTCATTCGAAGAAGTACAAGTATATTTAATATTTATTATTATTTATTTATATTTAATAAAATATAATTTTACAAAAAAACATCCAGAATATGAAGTGTTTGTGTATTTTTAAAATTCATCTAGCGGGCCCATTTTGGCCCGCGGGCCTTATGTTTCACACACGGATCTACATAACTCTATTGCTTTCATGAATGTAGAGGGCTGGTTTTAATGAGGACTTCGACCAAATGAGTTGTGACTTGACGTGGCATTGACCCTATCAAATGACTTGTCTGCTTTTTTGCCAATGAAACTAAAGCAACAACATAAGAATCCACAAAACAAGTTGGCTATTTTTAATGCTGCCTTGACTGAGTCTTTCAGCCGCTACTCCTGCAACATAAATTGAAATCTTCCTCTTCCTCGGGGATTAACAAGGAGCGTTTATGTCCCGTGTGTAAGAAGCAAAAGGGAAACAGGCAGAAACGTGATAGACTTCCTCCGAGCTGTTCTCTTTATGATGTGCCTATGCTTCAGCAACCACTGCATGTAAACAGACACCACACAAGTAAATGTGTGAGAGCAAATTATTCACAGCACAATCATTTCATACCTTTTGGAGCCAGAGACATAGTGAGACAACATATGGAGCAGAAACTCCAGAAACAAATCTGTGAAAATAACAAGAAAAGCTCGAACTAAATTTGCCTGCATCTCATTTCATATTCTGTTAATTTCCCAACATGACAAATCCACATAATTATATCTAATTACCATGACTGTCATCTCTCCTCTCCTCAGTCCCTCTGTTTGGTTGAAATTAGTTTTTTTTTTTTTTTATAAGAAATGAACAAACTCCCTTTCTACTTCTGATAGCAGATTATCCCCCCGTCTCTCTGTGCCTGTCAGCCTCCACATCTCCTCCTCTGCCTCTTCCCTGTTAATCCTCACATCCCCACTGGGAACTCTATTAGATGAAGCCTTTATCTTTAATGCTCTCTTTTCCGTCTCTGTCTCACCCATTTGTAAATTTCCAAAACAACTCGATTCACCTGCTCTCGCTCACTGCCTGAACCTCCCGGTATAAATTTTGCTATAAAAATTGCTAATCCATGAACTCTTGCTGACCTCTGTGTATCTCTCCGCTACTTCCTCTCTTTCCCATGTTACGTCCTCTCAGTCTGTGCTTGTGCTTTTAGTCTCTCATGTAGATAATACAACAGCAAGGCTATTGGCTTTTGACTGTTCCCCTAAAACCTGATGACACAACCTTTCACTTAAAGCAAATCAATGAAACGGTCCCATATGGTTTAAATTAGTGGTTCTCAAACTGTTGTACGCGTACCACCAGTGGAGCGCTCTCTAGTGGTACGTGGGGAAAATTCATATTTTCACATTTACATTTTCAATTGAATAAATCTGAAACATAACATGCACAATTAATTCAACATTTAGAAAAAATGTGTAGCTACTTGTGAGATTATTAAAAAAAGGATGTCTGGTATTTTTATTTATTTACTTGATTTTGCTGCAGTGCAAGTCTGTTGCTCACGTAAGCACAGGCAGCACGGAATCATGGGATCACTTGCAAGTTGAACGTGGAACGAGCAGGGGAATTCTAATGTTGGTCATCGTGGTGGTACTCAGAGAGCTCAATGTTTTCTCAGGTGGTACAGGGTATAAACAGTTTAAAAACCAAATTAATTTAGTTTAATAAGGGCCCTAAAGCTGAACAATGAAATGGTGCAGATTCCAAGTACACTTGTCAAATTAAACCGCACCACACCCTGGTTTTCAACAACTCTTAATGGAGCCAGATCTGTCTGTAACCTTGAGTGTGGATGTGAGCGGCAGATTAACGCAGCAGCGAAACTCTGCGGTCCATATGTTTGGCACGGCGTTCATCCTCCGATGTCGGAACTGCATTATTACAACCCGGGACCAAATTACCGCACTGTCCAAGCAGCCTGGCACATGGTATATTGTCCTGTCGAGCTGTACGTGCTCTGAGAAAATGAAGTGCTGTGATCGCCCATAATCCTCACCGACGGAAGACGCCTTCAGTCAGGTGCCAAATATAAATCACTGGCACGTACAAAACACCGACAGTGTGATCATCACACGTGGTCGCACACTCACACTTTTATCTATTTCAGTGTGTGAGGCACATATGTATTGACACACTTGTGTAAACGCACACGCACACACACAGAAACCTGCCAGGTCCTCTCTGGTCATTTATGACCAGAGGACAGACATACAAGGAAGCAGAGACATAAATGCGCACAAAAAACCCATCAATCTGTGGGAGTGTGTGCCTGTGTATGTATCAGTGGGCACACTTTATCTATAAGTGTGTGTGCGCGTGTGTGTGTTTCTACTCCAAGGTCAATGCTGAAAGCTGGAAGACGGGGCGGGGGAAGAAATTAACAAGACCAGTGGACAATGACGTAAGCTCCACAAAGAAACACTACTCTTAAAGGGACAGAACAGGACACAGGTTTGACAGGAAATCCAATTAAGGGGGAAATGTGTAATTAATCAGTATAATTAATTCACAGTCAGACAGAAACCAAGCGTGTGTTTGTGGAGGCAAAATAGACAAAAACACATGGTTGTTGTGATATAACATTTCATTAGAATGAAGGGAGAAAATAGCTTTAAAGGAGGATCATTCAACCATAAAACTACTCTATAGAAACACACAAATACACGGCCATTCAGTATCTCAGTACAACACCACACAGGAAGTTGGAGGCAACAAAAGGCTTTTTTTCACGAGTCAACTACAGATATGGGACGACTTTAAATGACGGGGTCACGACGGCAGCTGGGGAGAAAACACACGGTCCATAAACAGTAGACACCACCAGTTGTTCCAAAGACGGTGACCTCAGGTTTGGGTCAGAAGCATCATAACCTCATGTGCTCAAATTACAGATGCAATGGAGAAGAGTCAAAGAGAAAAACACCTTTTGTGTGTCGGTTGTGTGTTTCTGTAGCCCTTTGTCTGCCAGAAAACAAAACATTTAAAGTATTCCTGTCAGTAATAGAAATTTGAGTCCTTTAATTCCCAAAAGAGAGCAAACAAATTGAACCGGCGCTTCAAAGCAAGCAGCAGAACTTAACTTGTGCAGTTCTACAAAATATGTTCACGATTCAACCAATACTAAAATTATAAAAAAAATATATTTTTGCTTTTTAACATGTTGTCATTGAATCTAAGAAATTAATACAATTGTAGAAAGACAGGAGAAAAAAAACGCTTTGATAGTTCTGTAATAACAAACGGTGATAGTACCTCAGTAGAGGACATTTTCAAACACAGACACCGTCTCATGTCCAGGTACTACTTTTCACCCAGTCCTATAGTAATCTGCTGCAAAAATTAATGCTGTGGCAGTTGCCAAAGAGAAACGGAAACAACATCAGTAGAAAACACCTGCTTCCACTGTCTTTGACTCCTGATATGCTTATTTTTAATAATGTGCAAAACTCCCTGGGCATTTACATTCAAAACATGAAAAGTAAACAAACAAAAAAACTAAATATTTCTGTTGAGGCATTTAATTTGAAACCAGCTCAGGCACCTGACACCATGAAACGAGTGAGCTGCTGAGTAACAACAACAAACTCAAAAGGAGGTACAACAACATCCCTCTCTCCCCCTCTCTCTCTCTCCCCCTCTCCCCCTCTCCCATTCTCTCTTCTTATAAAACAGACATGCTCCGAGGAGTTGCATCATTGTTATGAACAGCTCCTCACAAAACCGACTCTGCTTCTTAGAGTGTGACTGATCCCAACCTGCCTGAGACAGAAGCTGTTCCAGCCATTGCACAAGAGAGGAAATAGTGTCAATAATTCAGTACGGCCTTTGAATTGTGGTGTTGAAGGTAGGTTGTTTTGAAATGTTAGGGAAGTAATTGTACAATCTACTGTATTTTTTTATGTATATATATGTATATGTGTATATATATATATATATATATATATATATATATAGGTAGGATCAGAACATGAAAAATAAGATAGAATTGAAAATATAAATAAATGTCTATGTTGGACAATAACGAGAATACGAGTTATGGTAGGATTTGAAAAAAGAAAAGGTGTCATGGTAGGATAAAAACAAAATTGAGAGTCTAGCTGGGCCGGTTTGAAAACCAGAATAGGTGTTAAGGCATGGCTGAGAACAGGATTATGTGTTCATGTAGGATAAAAATAGGAATAAACAAGTACCAAGAAAACAGAAATGTGTGTCAGGACTGAAAACAAAATAAAACTAAGGGCCATAGTTTCAATGATGAGTCTGCACAACTCCAGTGATAATGAGTTTGGAAATATTGAATATGTTTAAAACCAATATATATTCCTAAATATGTGGTAGCTGAAGAACCTGATTAGTCAGATTACTTCTTCATCAGTGTGATGGTGTGATAACAAGCGACCGACCTGAGAGTAGAAATGAGCCATGGTTGTCGTCTCTATGTCCTTCTTCCCCAATATTTCCATTTTGACCGGAGCTGCTGGAAACTTGGAGGAGAAGTAGTCCAAAAAGTCAGGCAGGTAGCTGGCGTCTCCATGGACAATTCCCATCACATAATGAGCTGCCTATAAAAAAAAAGAGACAAAAAATATTTTTTTATGCTTGTTCTTTATAATTATAAGAACTGTTTTTTTTTTCCAGTGAATATCTTCACTGTACCTGGGATGAGTCCTCACTGAACACCAACGTGACAAACTCCTGAGCGAATCTCTGCCTCTGACTCGCTGAAAGAGTGGAAAGCTGCGAAGTGTGGGCGTGGGCCACCAGGGCCCCGCCATTGGGCTGGTTCTCTATGTGGATGTACGAGGCAAACTCCAGGCCAGCCATGCCGGGATAGCTGCCCTGTGGGTGCAGTTTAGTTGGAGACAGTAGTGCTGCTTTGGTAGGGGAGGGAGATGGGGAGGATAGAGCATCGGGATTGGCGTGGGGAGAGGAGTTGAAGAGGGACTTTGAGGTAAGAGCGGGCAAGAAGGAAGTGTGTGATGTTTTGTTGTTGACAGAAGAATAAACCGGGAGCGGAGTCTTAAAAGGAGACAGCGTGGAGTTGTTCATGTGATCAGTCGCCGGGGAGGACGAGGCTGGAGTTGCATTGTGGGGGAGAAGCAGGCCGGCACAGATGGTTTGGCAGGAGCGGTGGTACATCTTCACTCGTTTGTGCTTCTCCCCCTCTTTGTGTTTCTTTTTCTTTTTCTTCTTCACTTTTTTGATTTGCAGCTCCTCCAAGTTAATCTTGGCTTTCTCTTTTGCATCTGAGCAGTGACACAAAGAAAAAGAAAAAGAAATTCTGTGAGAACAAATGAATGTCCCACAATGTTAAAACCAACACAGACTGGTTCGATTTGAAAACAATTTACTTTAGAGGGAATTATATTTTTGGATGAGAAGAAATCCCTAGAACTTGTGCAATCACTTCCAGATTGTTGCAACTGATCTGACTGCACATAAATTAATTATAAAAAAAATAATAATTATATTTACATTATATACGTCACAAATAATTATATATGTTGCAATGTTATGCATTTGACTTACCCTCACACACACACACACCCCGACAAAAGCTGCTGTTTCACACACACACACACACACCCCTGACAAAAGCTGCCGTTTAAATTTCCCATTTGATCTAATGTGCATGTGCTAAATTTGGTCTCGTTCCTCGTGATTAACATGCTTATAAAAGTTTTAATTACTTAAATAAACAGGAAGTGAATAAATGGAATCATCAATGGATCAAAAGAGAGTGCTAATTACATTTAAACGTGAAAAACAAGACAAAGACGTTCTCCACAGATAATATTAATGTAATGATTATAATAATAATTAAAAACAACAACAATGTGTGTATAACATTGTTCTCACGTATTGCTCTTGTAACAGTGAACAGTAGTAATCTGTGAGAGTGAGGGAGAAACGTTTGTGTGAATGTGCAAATGTGTCTGTGGTTCCGATCTTTCACAGCCATCCTGCGAACACGTAAACATGTTTATATTTAGATTGTGTGTTTGATAGAAGTGCTGCTGACTCAGCATTAATCTCTCTTACTCTCTTACTCTCTCTCTCTCTCTCACACACACACCTATGCACAGTTCATAACCCACACATAGTCAATGCAACATAAGAGGACAATAAGAGACAGGCTGAAAACAACAGTGTGTGAGAGAGAGAGTAGAGAGAGGGAACAACACAGAGAGAGAGAGATGGTATTTGAAGCACAATGCCCAAGCTACTAATCCGGACGCTTAAACCAGAATCTCCCTCCCTCCCACCATTCTCCCGCTCTCACATATTCACATAATGTATTCTGCAGCCCTAACTTCCTAACTAACCTAACTAGCCAGTAAAAAGGCAGCACCACATGGAAAAAATGTGTAATTATTAGGTACTGCTGAAGTGAAGAAACACAAATGTCACATCATACTTGTTATAAGGAAAATAACATTTGGACATGAGTAGAACTACACACCTTATATATTTGCACTGCTCTAAAAACATATTCACAGCCCACACTTTCAGTAATAATTAGTCACTTAAGTAAGAACTGATAACATTGTGTTCTTTGCTTGGTTCTTATGTTTAAACATGACAAACTTTCCAAATGTCGTCGTCACTGATCAAATCACATTCATGTGTTCAAGCTCAACCAAACAAACAAACATGTTCACTGTCCAAAAAAAGCCCCGAGACATGACCATGACTTCAGGCCTCGACTGGGTGAAAAGGTCAAATAACTGTTCTACTCAAGTGAACAAAGGCAGAAACTGTTCTCTCTTTCTTTCTCCATCATTTTGTTTCTCCACCAACCAACAACTTTTATGGTAATTTTACTTCTAAATTCCCTTAATCCCTCTTTACTTTCAAAATGGTATAAAATTATTATTAAATGCAAAGTGATTCTTGGAATAAATAGTCCCATTGTCAATCACTAGAAAACTTTCCCTAATGTCCTAATAAAAAAATAACATTTTACCACTGCATTTATATTAATGGAACCAGGGGTCCCAAACTCCCGGTTCGGGGACTGGTGCTGGTCCGTAGGTCATTTGTAACCGGGCCGCAGTGGGACACATTGGGAAAAAAATGTACTTCAGTTTTACTAATTTACTTCATAAAAATAAACAATCCAGTCATATCTCTTTACCTTTTTAATGAAAAGATAATCTGATTTAAACTACTTACAGCACCTCCTGCAGGAGACAAGGAGGAGCAGGGGGTATTTTTTTGTTAGAGAAAACATCGTTAAATATTATGTCAAATATGAAATATTGTGACTGGCCTAACTCTCTAAACTTCTAAACATCCTACTACATACCCTGTACTCTACAAAACTAAACCCCCAGATAATGCAGTTACACTCATTGCTCTCAGGTCAAGCAGTGACTCACTGACTCCCTGGTCTTTTCCGAACTCTGCGCTCATGCTGTAAGCAGTAAGACAGAAATAGGGCACCAAATAATCCAGCTGTAATTTTTATCTGTGGCAACTGGCTACGGTTCTGGTCCACAGCCTTAGTAAGACTTTCAAATGTCACGGTGTGGTTATGACACGTCGAAACATGAAGGCCGTGAGTCCAGCTGGAGCTTTACAAGTCAATAAATCACAACAAAACACAGCATTTCAGTTTGAAAAGGTCAGGTTTTAAAGAGAAAACGTTGACAAACGACGAGCTACAGTTCAGTGGCTCGTCTCAGATTTCAGAGCATGAGAAAGAAATAAAGGGAAGGGACAAGGATGACGTCACAGTGCTCTACGAATTATTCACTACTGTCAAAAGGTTAACAGCAAACACTCCAACACATCCATAAAACTGCACACCAGCAGACAGACGTGCAGCCATAACAAATTCTGAAAAGTACCAGTAGCTATTTTACTCTGGTATTTTGGGCTTTTAATTTCTATATTTTTTTAAACTGGTATCTGTCTTATTTAATAATGACAATATAAAGAATCTACCGTATTTTACGGACTATAAAATCCGGAAAATACAGTAGATAGAAACATACAATAAAAAAAACATCTGCGTGATATAACCTTCAAAGATTCTATTTTAACATCTATGTTTCAACTTAAAACACAACACTTTGAAAATGCTTTACCATCACATTCATGATTTTATTAGGACCAGGAGGACTCTTTAGCTTGCTAACTGCTAAAACCAAGGCACTCATTTCATCCAACCTTACAGATAAACCAAATTTAAATTTTGAACATATGAATAAAACTGCCAGGCCTAAATTGACCTGTTTAATACTTATTCTCAGAAAGAAATATGCAAACAAACAGGATATGTAAATGAGGTGGATGACAGAGACCTTTTCTGTGTAAACACGGCCGGCATCGTTGTCTGCCAACCTCTGCTGTCGCAGCTCTGGTCAGCAGATGTAAACACTCACACACAACGTCAGAAGGTCACCATAAAAAAAAATCTCTGAGCTGAATTTTTCCACCTGCCGAGCAGTGTGGTGCAAAGGTCAAACCAAGGCCAGGGATCCAGTACCTGCTGTTGTGCATTGAACAACATCTACTTCCCATCCTACAGGAAAACTGCAGTACAAGGCAACAACTGAACTTCTTGGAATGGAATAATATTAAACACAAGGTTTCAATTCTATTCAAAAGGAGCTAAAACCTGATTCATGACTGTGTTTGACCGTTTAGAATGTGACAAACTCAAGGCCCGGGGGCCAAATTCAGCCCGGCAAGTCACTTTGTATGGCCCGTGGGAGCTTAAAAAGCATTTAATAAAGTCCATGCAGCACAGTTTCTTAACCTGAGGGGAACTGTATTGCTGATGTGCCCCCCCCCCGGTGAAAATGAGTGTAACACCCCTGGTGTAGAAGAACACTATCAGTGCGATGGTGTTGGAACTGTTGATCGTTCTTGACAGGTCGATAACTCGAGCCGTAATGAAAACATCCATTGATATTTGTCTCCAGTCGTTAGGATCAGATGTACAGTGTGTGATTTCCCACCAACCTTTAATGGGCTGCTTGACTTCTCCGTTTTCCCTCTTGATCTCATTCATCACTTTGTGCTTCTTCTTCTCCTTCTCTTTCTCCCTGTCTTTGACCTTCTTCTTCTCCCCCCTCTCGTCTCGCTCCCTCTCCTTCGCCTTGTCCTTGGTGAAGTGCTCTGAGGAAGTAGACGGAGGAAGAGCAATGGTTCAAGTGTCGACAGTAAAAAAAAAAGAAGAAAAAAGCATTAGAGTTCAGATGTTCTCACTCACATCTTTTCGATTTACTTCCCCGACCTTGTTAGTGAACCCTGGCCAAGAGTTTAACCCCCTGCCATTACTTTAACTTTCCTGTAATCATGTCAGTCCTTCTTCTTCAAAACCTCACCCTCCAACCCCCCCTACATTCGCCTGCAGCGAATACATCTTCACTCAACAGCCCTTAGTGTCACCTCTCATGATATTTCAGCCGTGTAATGACCTTCCAATTCCCTTTAAGACTGCAGCAGCCACTCTGCCACTTCACTTACAACCTCAGAGACGCATCCTGTCTGCAGACATCTTGTAATAACCTTCCACCATAAGTAGGTGAACACACTTACACATATTAGCAGTCCTGAATTTCTTTTTAGATTTTCAAGAAAATGTATTCGCCCTGCCAGCACTTTTACTTCTGACAATCATTTGAATGTTGGAGGAATATTAAAGATCACAGAACTGGAGAGCACTCAAATGTAACACTCACTGCAAACTGCACTGCATCAGTATCAGTCCATAAATGTAGCTATAGAGTTGTGAACACAAGAGTGTAAATGGGGCAACGACATTACATTTTAAGAAAATTTTAGAGATGAACAATATGGATTTTTTTTAAACCAATATCAATAAGTGATATTTATCTAATCCTATTGTCTCATACAGATAGAATAAGTCAATTTATTTTCTCTAACAAATGTTTGACCAGACAACCGTGACCATGAGACGTTTTTAACACTATTTTAAGATTAAATTAACTTGGTTTTTACTCTATATTTAACAGTTACAGAAATTGATCATATCCTTCAGAAACAGGAAGTAACACACCAGGAAAGGTTGGTCATCACGGTTTAACACTGAGTTTATTTTCAGAAATTGACACCCAAAGACTAAAAGACTAATTTGCAGAATTTAAGAACAACTAAACGACACGTCAGCTGCTCTATTCTTATTTTTAGTCCCTTCTCTAGAGCCACTGGGACTGAGTTGTATCAGAAGAACTAGTGCCAGGTTTTAGAGTACTTTCTAAAAAACTTTCATGAAACTATTTTTTTAGTACTATACTTCAATTTCCCAACAAGGGAGAGAAACGATTTTTTTTCCCCCACTTGAGTTTTTTCTGTTGCCTTTATTTTACTCTGCAAAAAAATTTTTTTTCTTTGAACTCTGTCAGATCTGAGTTTAAAAGGAAGCTGTGTTTTCATACTGTTCATTCTCCTGTAGATGTGGGGAGAGGGAGAGTCGACGCAATGGGGTTGGACTCACTGTTTGCAGGATCAAAGAAGGGGAAATCTTTGAAAGAAATAAAAAAAAGTAAGTGGCTTCAAGGAACAGCGTGAAAGTTAGATTTATATAGGTTCGCCTTTTCAGAATTTTATCCATCAATACCTGGACATTTTAAGCTGAAAGTTTTTATTTCTTCACTGCTATTGACCCTGGTAGTCACTCCTCTAACAGTGATGCCTCAGGATTTAACAAAGCGTTACAAGAAGCATGCAGTAAAACAGTCGGTAAAATAACCAGACAGTGTAAACAGCAGCTCCGCAGGAGACAGCCTACAAAGGAATTCACTCAGATCTTCTGCCAGATTTCCACAAAAAAAACATGTTAGGACCACGCCATTTCAATGTTAGCATTACAGGGAACATAAGTGACAGTGGCTGTCGCTGCTTTAATATAAGCTCATTTATCATAGGAGAAAGAAAAGGAGGATTTTCTTTTTAGAAAACATTATTTTTTTAAGTAGACAGAAGAAGACATTGACAGATAGCACCTAAGGGGTTTAGAAGGGCATCCCACAGCATAAAAGGTCAGAAGTTCAAAGTGGGATCTGTTCAAGAAATATGAAAGATTCTAAAAGGGCACCTGACAACATGAGCGATGCAAATAAATCAGACAAGCTTAGAAACGAAAACAGGCCTCTGGTTTTGTTTTCTGAGTTTGCGCAGGGTTTCGAAGGGGAAACAGCAGGTGGGTTTCAGTGTTCGGATGATCATAGTAGAGGCTTAAAAAAGTTGAAAAGTTAGAATCAGGCACTGTGTAAACTTTAATTATAACTGTGAAAGAAATACTGCGGAGGCAAAACCAGAAGCTCAGAGAAATCAACAGGGAGCTCTGCAAACGTGACAACTAAAAAAAATACTGCCTGTAAAACCCATTATATTACCGAGTGTTAACTTGACGAAACCTGAGGCAACACAGAGTTCACCACTGAAGCCTGGCCAGGTCTGAATGTGTGTTAGCAATGTGATAAGACTGGCAACCAGTCACGGGTGTTCCCAGCTACTGGCCAAAATGCATATTGGGATCTTGTCCAAACCTCTGTGATTCCAAACAGGAAAACAGAATATCAGGGAGGAAAAACAGCCAGAATCTAAACTATGGCCTTTAAAAAAAAAAAAGTATTTTGGGAAAAACAGCCAGAATCTAAACTATGGTCTTTAAAAAAAAAGTATTTTTTCAAAGTCTTTCAGAATTATTTTTAAACAAAATAAAAGGGAAATGAAATGTTTGACAAATTACAGAATTGTCTGTCTAACTGTAGCCAGAACTCACTGTACCTTGGCAGATAACTTCAGCTTTGCTCCTACAGCTGGGATGATGTGATACTTGCTGGATCTCTGCGAGAAAATTCCTTCCCTACAGGAAGGTCAGAGCAGTTTGGTTTCTCAGAAGCAGCAGCTCTCCTGATGCTGGCAGAACTCTCTCTGTCGCTCTGTCACTCAGGGACACTCAGCTAGCACTGAGCTGTAGACTATTGTCCTTAAAGTGGCCTCTGCAACTGCTGGGAAAAGCCGTCCACTTATTTCCATCTCTAATCATTGAAAACACCGTGGTAATGATGCATGTGCATCGACACTCTGCTGCGAGTTCAAATACATTCATGAATATAATTCATCTCTTTATTCACTGCTACTTACAATAATTGCATATTCTGTATAATGGTAAAACAGCAGAGCAGTATGAAGTAATACATTGAGTTCACTTTCCAAAGGCAAGTGCTCCTTTATTAGGAAAAATATGGCATGACTTTTATATTGACAAATTTACTAAATAGGCTAACTTTAATGTGTTGCTTATGGTTACTGTTATTGCGTTGTTAAAAAGAGAGGACGTAATTGTAAGTTGTGTAAATAATGTTTTGTTTAGGTTTGAACTTTTATCATTTTAACGACTGTTATGATATACAGCATCATTCTTAAATGATCAACTGTAGTAGACCTTCTGTTCCTAAATCCTACATCTAAGACACATGCTGTAACTGTCTTCTACTGACAGAAATGTCTAAGGTTTACTTGTTTTAATCTATAAAGTTTTGTCGGGCTGGAGAGCTCTCTACTTGAGCATGTGGTTACAACATCAGACAGTGAGACATGACCAAACCAAACCCTCAAATTTTTACCATGTACCACTATATTTAAATTGTTTTTATAGTATTCAAAGAGGCACAGGCTGTCGTGAAATTCCTCCATGGCAATAAACGTAGTCTTTTCCACTGGAGCAAAACTAAACTGACATCCAACAAATCCCATTCTCCAGAAGGAATTCCGACCTTACGGCTACGCCTACGAGCCATCAACACGTCTTGTTCTGAGGCTCCCACTGGCTGCAGTGGCAGTTTAGTGCGTGTCATAACCTCCTAAACTACCCAACTGGAAAGGGGTGACATCATGTGCTCACACACGCGTTCACTGGGTGCCTCACACAAACGCAGTCAAAACACATAGGCCAGTACAATGCACATCCATGCTTTATGATTTTGTTTTTCCTGGAGACAATGTTTTTCGTGTGATAAACGACAAAAAGCCATTAAAAAAAATCAATAACAAGGCAAGGTCCACTAAGGAAGTGATCGTAAAATAGACATTTGTCTGTTTCCGCAGACAAATGTTTACATCCTCCACCCTCACCCTTTTGACCTGTCTGAGGACTTTCTGTCTGAGGAATCTTTTTTCATATTTTTATTGTTATTTATTATTTATTATTATACAAGCATATTTTCTGCATAATATATCTTCTTATTGTTTAATTTATTCTTATTGTTTCACACACCCCCACTTTACTCCTATTTCGTCCCAATTTTTTCAGATGCTTTTATTGGTTTTAGAGATTTAGAAACTATTAGTTGTTCTTTTATTATTTTATATTACCTTATTTAGGATACACACTAAACCAGGCTGGAAAAAATATACTGTACACTCAGGGTTACAACTGCTAATCCAAATAAAATTGTTGTTAAAAAATGTTTGTTTTTTTCAGTTGTATAAATGAAAAAGAGAATCAGAATGGAGCTGGTTTAAATTATGTTGCCATTCAAGTTTTTGGTTAAAAAAACACTAAAACGTAAACAACTCTGTTTAGTGTTTGATAAAGACGTAATAAAACCTTGGTTGAGAGACACGACATCACGTGACATACAGTAAATACATGGTCATGTTTTAGTCATTAAAAATGGACACTTTTCTAAATTAAAACACATTGTCGTAGAAACGTATGACTTGCTCTTTTCTTTCTTTTTTACGGAAAAACTGAGATAAATATTTTCCAAAAGGCACACATGACTATATTGTAAATCTCCCAAAATTCTAGTACTTTAAGCGGAAATTAAATGATAGGAGTGAATAGTGTTGACGTGAATAAATGCGTTGTCCTGAACGCACCACTGTACAGTACATGTAGGACCGTAAAACACAGCCGACTATCAGGAAGCCACCGAGTCTTGACGTGTGTTTTCCATATAGCCTGAGGTTCTGGGGGGGGGCGTGGTCCTCCACCAAAACAACACTCAGGACTATAATAGAGGTCGGTTGTTATAATGATATTACAGCTACGTGTACTTTATATTTAAGTTAACATCTGTGACACTGACTCCTGTACATACTGTAGTTTAAACTCCACGGTTTCCAACGCCTGATTTGTTTTAAAAAAGCTTTGTAATTTATTTTATGTTTATTGCGACGTAATTATAAATATTTTTTAAAAATGTTTAATGTTTGAAATATTCAGGTTAGGTGTTTTTCAGTCGGTATCTACGTCACGACGACCAAGTTCCGCAGCACTGAAGCGGGTTCACCGGCGGGTGACCACAAAACAAACCAGCAAAACAATGACTAAACTGTTTTTAAACTCCAAAAAAACATGAACCATATCTGGACAAAATAATGTTTCTACAACACATGGCTTTACCTGGACTTGAACATTGTTGTGCCCAAAGGGAAGCGAGTGTAAAAAACCAAGGAATTAAAGCGCAGACAAAACTACACATGTTCACGACCCACACAGTCTGAATGTGGGTTGAGGCGACTTCAAACTCCTTAACAAATTACACATAAACCCACAGTTTTTTTAAATGGCAAACTTTTACATCCCACTCGCATTATAAAGTACATTTAGGGCAAAAAAAGAGCAGTAATTAATGGCCTACCTTTGGGTAGCGGTGTGACTTCTCCATTATCCCGTTTCACCGCTGAAATGTCCTGAAATTCTCTGATATCCTTGTTGTTGTTATTATTGTTGCTAATATCCGTCTCGACTGTGGAGGAAAACACCAGTTTCCGTTTATTCTTCTCCTCTCCGCCTCCTTTAACCTTCTTCTCCCTCGGTTTGCCGTCTCTACTCGGCTTCAGTGAACAGAAGGTGGGCGATGCCGTTTTTTGGAGAGAGATATCGGCCTGTTTGAAGACTTTGGTCGGTGTTTGGGGTCCAGGCAGATGTGCCTTCACCGGACTAAAGCTCCACACCGCAGCAAGGCTGCTGCCGGAACTCGACTGTTGCTTGGCGGGCTGCTTGAGTTTGTCTTTGCCGCTGCCTCCCACTCCTCGGTCTCTGCAGACTTTCTTAGGCTTCATGCCCTTCTCCTCCATTCGGACCTTTTTGGGCGGCGGCAGGTTGAAATCCCCGGAAGACTGAGATCTCGACGGCTTGACGAGCGGGCTTTTGGACGAAGAGACCGCAACGGTGTCAGCCGTAGCTCCGGTAGGGTGAGCAGAATCCGGAGAGTCAGCCATCTTGAAGCTTGTATTTACTCTCTTCCCCCACCGCGGAGGCTCACTGCTGTTTTCCTGCACGTCGTGCAGCAGGCAAAGAGGACGGGGGCGGGTCTGGTGTGTAACGGACAGGTCGACATTGAGGGGCGGAGCAATGACGTAGAAGAAAAAAAATGGAGGGAAAAAAAGACGGGACTGAGTTCTTGTTTACGTTTTCATAATTAACCAAAGCCTGGTTCGAGGACCATTGATGGGCCAAAAGAGATTTGTTTGGGACCTTTATCCAGTATTTTTATGATTCCTGTTGGTTTTTTAACATAAGCCTGCTTTGAGTAGTATATAATTGCATAGCAATGTACTATGACAAATAATCTCTCAATCTCTCCATGGTTACGCAAAACAAACAAAAAGGGTAAATATAGGTGAGAATGTAAAAAGCTTAACAAACCAGCTGTCGATCTTGTGCAAATAAACTCCATATAATTGGCTATATGTATAAGCCATTACATAACTGCTCCATGGGAAAACTGAGGCGACCCAGATACGATGGAAACCTGGCTCAGTTTACACTACACAGTGTGAATATGTGTGCTGCAGGGAAAATAGTGCTGCATAGATAATGAAGGTGTGAGTTATGCTATAAATATGTGTACTAAAGCATAAACGTTATAAAGTTTATAATCTCTTAACGTCATCTCTATAATTAGAGTGAAATTAATATGGTGTACATGTAAATTCCAACACATTAACACTGTGTGTGTTGCTAAAAAAAATAACCATTTAGCATAACAATTCCATTGACGTTGATTTGGTGGATGGATACACTTTATCGTCCTCTGTGATAAGGTCATGTGAATGGCTGTTCGGTTTCGGTTCTGCTCGCCCTCGGTAATTAAATATTCTGGTCAGAATTCAGTCTGGTCCTTGAGCTGCATTTGACTGGAACTGTGTGCACAGAGAAAAAAACAAACACAATATTACATTTTCCTTATCACAACGAACAATAAAGTGTATCCATCCACCAAATTACAATCAGTGGAATTACTAGGAGAAAAAGTTCACGGACTATGCTATCCACACACTTATAATATACAGTAGTTTAAGTGGCTTCAGGGACAAGTGATGGATTAGCCACTTGACTGGACTAATAATGGTTTTATGAGAGCACTTCAGGGTAGGGAATTAATCTGGACTTTTTACCACAGTGGCAAAAATGCTTTTCTTTCTCCACGTCAGTTTCATCAATTGCTCCATGTTATTTTATGGAAATATATTATTGTCACAGCTTTTACCTATTTTCTGGTTAGCCTTTAGCCAGTCATAAGCTGAAGTGGGTTTTCGTTTCAATATTAACCATTGTCTTGTATTTAGGTAACTTCTAGACACACTTCTTGTATTTTTAGGTACCTTTTTGACAAAAAAATTGTGAATTATGGGCCAATTTTAAATCTTTTTTTTTAAATTTTGTTGAAAATATTTCAATATCTTAATAGCTTAATCCTTTTTTACATATTCAACAAACTGTTAATACTCAGTTCTTTTGTTGCTGCTTTTAAGCCATCACTAGCTTTTAAACTATTAAATTTATTTAATTTAATGCTTTAAGTAAAAACTTTACAAACATTGACACTTTTTGAATTTTTTTTTACTTTTTTTGTTTTAATTTAGATTTGTGTGGAAAAAATAAAACTGAGACACAAATTTACTCAATGTTCATTTTTACTGATTGATTTCTGCAACATACAAACATTTTGGGTGTAGGTGAGTGTTCGTGTGTGTGTGCGACGGGAGGAGGGCGTGGCCGACTGAGAGTCCCACAGGAGGCGATGAGCGAGCAAGCAGCAGCGAATCAAATCACTCACGCTCAAGCCACTGATGATGATTGAAGAAGAGGAGAGGGAATAAGGAGGATGGGTTCTCTCGAAGGCACGGGTGGACTTTTTTTTTTCAACTGAGATCGAAGCTAGTGTGCAGCTGATGGAGGAGAGAGGGGCGTGGTGAAAGAAGAAGTTATGAAAAACCAAGCTGTGCAGTAAAAAAAAAAGCCTCTTCTCTAGATGTTTTTATGGCATTTTATGTTAGTTTGGGCCACCGTCAAAAGTTAGAGGATGTGTGAATGAAACAAGGACGGAGGAGAAGAATAGTGGAGGAGGAGGAAGAGGAGGAGGAGGACGGGACACAAATTTAAGAGTGAAACGTTCAGAAATGGTGATGAAAAGAAGTGAACGTGTGACGGCAACAAACAACCGCGTATACAAAAATAACTTTAAAATATCATTTACAAAAAAAACAACCATTATTATTATTATCATCATCAATATTATTACAATCTCATAATGTTGTTGCTTTCTAAAGAGAGGGGGCCATTGGCAGTCCTTTGTGTTTTTTCTCTGCCTACTAAATTAAACACTGACAAAAAAAAAATTAAATCCTTATCCTTTTGTAGATTATATTCTGAACATAAAAATAAAATTTGACAGAAGCAAAAGACCAAAGGGCAGCAAAATAATTTACAGGAAAAAAAAAAGTGTAGGAGAGGAATCATCATCATCGTCATCATCATGCACTGACTTTCTTACATCTTCTGTGAATAAGAATATTTAAGCAAAAAAAAAAAAGAAGAACATTATATACCTAAACTGCCCTGTACATTTGTTTATCTTTATAAAAAATGCATATACTGTATAGTCATGGTAGCTAATGAAGGTGGAGCGGGTTAGAGCCCGTCCTGGGTCTCGACGTGCTTCACTCTGATTGGTCTCACAGCGGCAGAGAGTTGGACTGGGCCATCAGATGAAAGACCAACACTAATATACATATAAAAACCACATGATCTGTGTCTGAGTCTCAGGTGATGTTGTTAATAAAGCAGGCAGAGAAAACTGGGGAAAGTCTGTTGGTCGTTGATCTGAGGGCCGCACCAGCAGGACGAAGAATGAGAACAGGAAGGCAGAAAAAGGAAAACAAAAAAGCAAAACCGAGTCCAAATGTAAGACCAGGAGAGAACAAAGCTGTACTGAGGAAGGCTGTCGTCAATGTCTTCTCTATGATCGGCTTCATGGTCCCATCAGTGAGAGTCAGGTCACGAGGCTGAGAGTTTAGTCGATGCTAACGTGTTTTTTCAACTCTGCTGTGATTGGACACAGGGACGTCGGCTCCACCAAACTTGTGGTGAGTGTCCAGACAGAATTTCAAGCATAAGTTTAAAAGTTTCTTACAGTGTTTCTATCGGGGGGGTTTTTAGCCATTTTTGTCATAGAATTGCCCGTAATCTTCCTTTTCCTAAGTCAGTGAAGGCGTCACACACCTAACTTTCATTCCACTTTATCCTTAACTCACTTTTCACAATTTTCTCTTTCACTTCTCATTCCACTTTATCCTTAACTCACTTTGAATTTTCTCTTTCACTTGTTTGAAGAGTAAATTGCACAATTTAAATGAATGTCACTGAACACATGCTAATGTATGCTAACCTGCTTCCGACTCCTGTCCACCTGCCAATGTGCTGCCAAACAAATGAACCTAAAGTCAATTGGTTAATTAGCTACACAGGCAGCAGTGAGTCAGTGCAAAAGGGAAATGTTTCTGCCACAACCTGGGCTGATTTTCCTTCCCTGTCATTTTCACATTGTGTACGACACACTACGCAGGTCCAACCAACTTGGCCACCACCTGTTTACACAGCCATGTAGGCAACGAAACACGAACACTACCCAGCCCAACTCTTGTAGATGATGAGGAAAAAAAACCAAAACAAAAGCCAGAGGATTAAAACTCCACCATTTAAAAGGGATTTGTTAACACCGCATGAATTCTTAAAACCAGATCTACCACGCCAACGGTAGTTAGCATTTCTGTGCGGCAGCCGACCAAACAATATCAGCCTCGGTCCTCTTTTGAACAGAGGGTCAGCATGGACGTGTGACAGATCAGATCAGTGATCACAGGAGAGCTGGATGAATGCTGGTCTCTGATCTGATCCTTTATAATGTAGCACCAACACAAAGAGAGAAGGGGGGGGGGGGGAGGCGGGGGGGAGGGAGAGAGAGAGAGAGAGAGAGAGAGAAAGAGAGACAGCACCCCAGCAACCTACACATACCCTACAGGAAATGTTGCGTCACGGGTAACAGATTATCTTGGTTCACCATTGTTCAGTAGGAGGAAGTGGACCCCACAACGTCTGTCCGAGCTCAGCTAAGTCCCAGGTCTCGACTTCCCTGAGTAGCTCATGTGATTAAAGTTAACTCCGGATTGAGGACAGAATACAAGTTTTCTCATTTGGTTTGAAACAAAGTGTTCCTCCTGTTAATTTAAGAAGAGCACCCCGCGATTAAATACGGAAGGTTTTCACCTACATTCCTCTTCTTTTAGCCTAAAAATGGATAAAAGTCCCCATGATGTGTCTACAGCTCCGAGAGAGAAAACAGAACTAACATTTTTTTTCATTAATCTACTCTCCAGTCACCAAAATATATATATAAAAAAAGACAGGAATTATCCTTTAACCATAAACAGAAAACTAACCAGACTGATCCCAGGTCAGCGTCAAGAGAAGTCCAAATCTCTATCATCAGCAAGTTGAGCAGGAAGAATGTGAGCTTTGTTCTTATGACAGGCCACTTCAGCAGCAAGTGTTCCTCTGCAGTGGCACTGTGAAGGAAGAAGGGAAGGAGGAGAGAGAAGAGGAGGAGTAGCAGGAGGAGAGGAGCTCAGTCCTGACAAGTTGTCGGCGACACAGTCACACAGAGGGAGCTTCTGTATAACAGTGTGCTGCCTGTCTGTCTGTCTGTCTGTCTGCCTGTTTAGCATCGATCAACTTGTTTTTTTTTGTTGTTTTTTTTGGACCAGCCAGGTGTGATCAGCAGAGTACGTCTCCTGACAGGTGAGGACACTGGTGGTGGACAAGCAGACGAATCACGCCATCATGTCCACTCCAGGGGGGGTTCGCGAGGGCCTTTAGGCTGGATGCAGCGGTTACCGAACCCTGCAAGGACAGGAAGAAGCTCTGAGTTAAGACTGATCTGGGGTCTGGAACCAATGTGATAAAATGTTTTTTTTGTTGTTCAAACATTTTAACATGCTAGCAAATAAAACAGACTAATTATTTTTGGTTGTAAGTCAATAAATTAAAAACATAAACCCTGAACACTGCAGTCTTCAGTATTTAGTACGACTCACTGACTACAATCACACACAGTGACCTCAGGTCAACATTGCTTGCTTTACCTAAAAAATTGCAAACCTGGTTTTAAATGATGAGGACGATGCTATTATGTTTTCGTGCTGTTAGCAAGAAAGCAGGACATTTTGTGTAAAATTGGCTTAAGAATTTACAAAAAAAAAAAAAAAAAATGCTACTTTCAGATGGAAGGTTTTATCATATGTGTAGTGCACAGAATGCTGCTTTGGCAGAGTGTTTCTCATTAATTTAATACCAGAGATATCAAGGGTGCACACGTGGTTAGAACGTGTACATTCCTCATAGGATGGCCCACAACAGCACAGCAAGCAAAGCAGTGACCCTTTCTCCTATTCTCCTGAGTTGTAGTAAAAGAAAATCCACATTTTTTTTCTCCCACAGGAAAAGAAAATGCCTGGTCTCCAAACAACCCCTCAGTTTTCTGCACATGCAGCCAAGCACTGGCTCTCAGATCACCAACAACGCTGCTACACCTTCAGAAAAAAAACAAAACCCAATGACATCAGTAGAAACTATGTTTGTCAGCAAAGGCCTACTGCACACACAAGAAATCATTACTGGACGTCTGAGTGGAGGAAACCCGGCCGGACGTGGTAAACAAGTCAGAGAAATGACGAGCGACAAGACGACCGTGGCTGCAGACTTACCCACCCAGGTCTGCTTTGCTGTCTGAGGCCGTGGTTCCAGCAGACGTGGGGTCAGGCGGACACGTCTTGTTAACACGGTCGGACACGTCTGGAACAAAAAAATGTGCAGGTTAATGAGATGGAACCACAGCGTGAACATCAGTGATGGACCTGCTGCGAAGGTGTTGTGTAATAGTCTTAGTGTCTTTGCACAGACTGAAAATGAACATTTTTGTTTTTATAGCACTTTTTATGCATTCAACAGAGCACAAACTGCTGTACAGATAAAAGGTTTAAAAAGTGTAAAACACCCCCCTCCTCCACACACACACACACACACACACCCCCACACACACACACACACACACCCCCACACACACACACACACACACCCCCACACACACACACACACACACACACCCCCACACACACACACACACACACCCCCACACACACACACACACACACCCCCACACACACACACACACACACACCCCCACACACACACACACACTCATCCAACCATACACAAACACTCACTCACTAGGACATGCAAATGGAAGCAAACATACACTTATTTGAAGGCAATAAGGCAAGGACAGGATTATCAGGTTAAACATTCAATCCCTTTTTTTGAAAAAGCCTCTTGCACGCGCGAACACACGCACACAGAGGAACCACTAAAGCAGTAAATTGGCTGTAGGCTTCATCAAAAACGTAGGGAGGAACGGATTTTTCACGCCACCTTTTCTTCCCCCGTATTCTCTCTTGCCTCCTCTGTAGAAATCACCTGCTGCGCTCCAAACACCATTAGTCTTATCACGTGCAGGCTAATTTGTACAACACTGAAGGCCTGTCGCCTCCTCCACTCCTGTTCTGTTGACTGTCTCTCCCATCAATACACAAACAAGGACAAACAGATAAGACTTCCTTCCACTGCAGCCCGCACTATCAAATGGACAAGCAGGCTGCAAGGAAAAGGCGGCTCTGAAAAACGTGCGCGTCCGTACCTGTGTGTGATCCACTCCACTCAGGTGGGTCCGAGGGTTTCACCTCCTGAGGGTCTGACAGAGAGCAAGACATAGAGGGAATGAGACGGAGAAAGCCTGACAGGAAGAGTGAAGGTTCAGAACACAGACTGTGAATAAGAAATGGACGCTCATTTCTGGATGAGAAGTGAAGCTGAGGAAGTTGGAAGTAGCACCACCACATGGGGGCGAGTGAAGACTTTGAGAAAAGAATAATAAGTTGTCACTGTATTATTATTAGCTGGATTAGCTTTGTTTAGTTAGCCACAGAAAATACTTATTTTTAGCATTGTGGCACAACCAAACTACAATTCCATAAAAAGAAGAGCTCTGTGCTACACCATAGATGTGCTCTTTAAATAACATTTAACGAGTCTGGATGATGAATGCAATCATGACTACGTCCATTTCTTAAAGACAGTCAAAGGTTGACGTGTTCTGACTGAGATCACGTTATGAGACATTCAAAGCCAAGTGTATCTTTTCATACTTGTCTCTTTACAGCCGACCTCCTTTGTTCAGAGCTGCCTCACAGCATCAGGTTTCACATACAACAATACGTGTTTTGAACAAACACAAAAAAAAACAATGCTTCAAGCTGCTATAACACATCACTGACTGTTGTTCACACAATAGAATCTCGACACAAATGTCTGACAAAGCCAATGCTGCCCTCCAGTGTTGTGATGATAGAACAGCAGCATAGATAAACAACACAGCTCAAGGGGGCTCGGCTAAATTATCACCAGATAATTCAGAGACACTAATTTCCATCTCATCACTTTCTGATTATGAGTCAGTGACATGGATCCAGGGGTGAAGCCAGTCAATCCATTGCTCTGAGAAGAAACCCGTGGAACTGTGACCAATGCAAACGCACCTGTGGCCAGTATGAAGGACTCAGGGGTTCTGGCAGGGAGAGGGGGAGGGGAGTCATCGCTGTCCCAACAGTCTGGGTTAAAAGGTCAGAGGGAAGCAGAGTTAGTACTGACCATAAACAATGGCAGTCAAACGACAGAGAGACAAAGTTAAGATTCTTCCAGAAGGACACTTACTGACATTGATTTAAATCTAAAAATGTAAAACAGGGTAATTCAAGTAATCCAGGGGCCAACTTTACGCTTTTAAACTTACTCAGACAAATTTAATTTATTTTTGCATTCATTGGGAGCAATCAACTTAATGTATTTTGGCAAAATGCATCAATTATTCATTCATGGGCTAACTTTTCCCTACCTTTTACTTCCCCTAATCTAATAGTTGCTTATTGCTTAGTTATAATAAATTATATCAACAAGCAATTCCTGCATTTTAGTGTTATTTGTTGCCTGATTGGTACGAGCTAATAAACATAATTTGGCTTATTGAAGTAAGCATGCACCAAAAACTGTACGGCATTTAAAATTAGTTTAAATTATAATAAATTGTACAGGTCTTTTACACCATTACTTTTTTGTTTGTTTTTGAAACATATTTTGCATTTATAAGTCTTACTGTATAGAGCTTAGTTTGAAGATCTGATAACAAGAAATGCCACAAGGTCTATTCAGATCGTCAGGTGGAAAATGTTTGGTACTGTAATTACATAAATTGTCCAGCAGAGAGAGCACTGACTTTATTGTTTGAAAGTACAGCGTGCCGTACAGCTGTTTCATTGATCAACTTTAACCATTTTGTTTGTAATTAATGTACATTATGCTAATTAATATTAATCTTCTACCATAGGCCTAAAGGCTGAACTCGATCTTGTTATTCATTAGTTTGTAAACAGAAAGTAACTGGTAACAAGAAATATGAAATCATCATTATATAAGGATGAGAACCATTCACAGAGCAGCCAATAAAACAAGCAGCAACCAGCCCCCCCTCGACCAATCACAAGGCAGACCTATCCAGTGCACCACCAACAATTGTTACATTCTTGCAACCAATCATAAAGCAGTTGTTAGCTTTTCATCAACCAATTACGAAGCATCACCTCAGCCCACACACGATGAGCTACCAAGCCAGGCAAGATCCACCACGGACCACTTCAGAACCGCAGGAACAATCTCTGCATTTGGCTTCAAATATTGGATTTAACATGAGGAGTGCACAATGAGAGGATAATTCTTACCTAGGGTTAGCACGATGCTAACGTAGCATGACATGTCTTGAAACGGCCCTGATAATGATAGTCTCATTGAAATGGACATGTTCAAGATAATTTTTTTTCGATAGTCTCATTGAAATGGACATGTTCATCAAGATAATGTTTTTAGTGTGGGATTAGTTTAGTTCTGAAATACTGCGCTGGCTCTTTCAAGTTTAACTTCACTGTGCTACTGGTTAGTCAATAAACATGCTAAAAAAAATCCTGATTCCAATCACTGATTGGTCGATGTTGATCACAATTAAGACAATACATAACAAAAATTTGAAAATTGGAGGGTAAATTTAGATTGACTGCTATAGGAGTAAATATTTAAATTTTAGCAATTATAATATCACTAAGATAACCTATGTTATATCCGTTGATTAAAAACCTAGATTAGATGTGAGGCGAGTGCGTCGCCATCTAGGTGGTTTACATCATGCCTCCTCAATGTTCCATCCAAGTATCTAAAAATGCAGCTGTTTCAGCCAGAGTTCATAGGAGATCAAAACTGTACCAAAGCAAAGTCCAGCTCAGTCCATTCCACATCAGCCACACATCAAAGTCTTATTTCAAAATCACATGATTCTGAAATCCTCCCCCACCCCCTCAAAAAGGTTTTGATTGCATATGTGACAGCGTACACAAGCGTGCGTGGGCGTGTGTTCTTTATTGTGATCCATCATGCAAGGTTGATCCTTCACCAACTGACATGCACGCTCAGTTCTGGTGCTGCACAGAAATGAGAACACGCACAAACAAACAGAAAAAATAAACACAACTTCTTTCATTCTGTTTGTTCATCCTCTCCTCACACACAAACACACACACACACACAAACACAAGCACGAGCACAAAGATGAATGACAGAAAGGAGAGTTGTTTTGACAAATGTTGGCCTGGTTACAGTTGCCGGCTGAACCAACCAATTAATTGTATGATAGTGTTTTAAATGAGACTCCGTGGAAAGCGTTCCACTTTTTCTTAATCTCTCTGAACTGTATTATTGTCGTTTTAATTAATTATTATTTTCTTTCATTTTTTTATGTGTTTATTTTCTCCTTCTCTTGACTCCTGATTTTCCATTGCGGCTGGAACAATGTGAGGCTGTGTGTTAGTGTGTTGAACGACCCATCATGTCATGACCATGTGGTCTTTCTGACACGTTAGTGTCCTCACTGACCCAGAAAAGGGACTGGAGCCTGAGGTTTTCCCTTAATTAAGTGTGGATAATAACATCCATCCGTCAAGAGATAATGTTGTTGTATATATGTGACTTGACTTTTCATATCTATATACAGTATAAACACACACATATATACATATATATGTACATATATGTGCACATATATGCACATATATGTACATATATATGCACATGTTTATATATGTATATACATACATAGTCATGGATAATTTGTTCATTTGTTAATTCATTCTGAGGTGGAAGCATCAGCAGCAGCAGCAGCAGCAGCAACAGCAGCGCAGCAGAAGTGTTAAAGCAGTCGTTTACTTAAGGCCGTCAACCGACAGACTTACTTGCCGTCGATGCAGCCGTTGGTGATGGAGACCGATGTCCAGCTATGGACATCGACACCACCTTCCTGGCCGGTGGCTGATCTCCGTGATGAGGGGGTGCTGTGACCATGCCCGACGTCATGGAAACGTTAGTGCGATAACCCTCCTTTATCGCGGACATCTCTGCGTCCCCTTCCTCATCTGAGTTGTCCGAGTGCAGGGGGTTGGTGAAGCTCAGGGCAGTTCTAACAGGTGTAGTCGAGGAGGAGGAGGAGGACGATGAGGTGGAGGAGAGGTGGCAGGAGGAGGAGGATGACGATGGAGGGACGCGGTCTGAGGAGGAGGACGAGGAGGAGGTCTTTGGATACTGTTTATCAGGGCTGCTGGAGGACTGAGACCATGTGGCGTGGCCCGTTTTTACCTCTGCTCTCTCTCCTCTCGGTAACTCCCCCCTTTCCCCCCCCTTCCAAGGGAGATGGTTTGC